GCTGGGCCACCTATAGCCACTGTCCACAGAGGCTGTGAGGGGCTCTCCGTGACGGGTGGAGAGAAGATGATGTTGACCCTCAGGCTCAGGGGTCAGACATGTTGACGGAGTAAATGCTGCTGTCCTCGCCCGCAGGCAAGGTGCCTGACTCTTGGGCGTCCACCAAAGCGCCCGGGTCTCCTGGTGCAGACGCAACCAATGTGCAGACCTTAGTCACATCTACTTCGAGGCAGAAAGACATGTTTGGGCCAGAATTACCTGTGTGTCTCGGGCCATAGGCTTAGTCTGAAGTAGACTAACAGCTGTGTCACGCCAGCAGTGGCTTCATACCTCTTGTCCTCACTGCGTCGTTTTCTCTGGCGCTTGGTTCAACCTTGTGTTTTATAAATTTCGTGTGGCCTAAGTGCAGTGTTCATAAAGCATGCAGTCATGCCCTAGTAATGTAATGTCAGTGGAAAGAGTGGTTATTTTCAGATGTTTAGCTCTAGAACATTAGTGCTAAAACGTGCCCTGGAACCGCTCTCTCTGGAAACCCTCATTTTAAATGTGATGGGCTTGGGGGGAGATGACATGGTGACGGAGAGGGTGCAGGTGTCCTCCTGGGGGATGAGGGACGCCTGGGACTGGACAGGTGGCGGCTGCACAATGCCGTGAATGCACCAATGCCACCCAAGGATGCACTTTAGAATGGCCGAGCATCTGTTGTGTGCATTTCCCCTCAATACAAACTAAAGCTCTGGCAGCAGGAGCGGCCGCAGGGACCGCCAGCTGCTGCCGAGGGACTCGAGGACGTTTCAGGGAGTGGCTGCCACACAGGGGGCCCTGAGCCTCCTTAGGCCGTGCGCACAGAGACCCCACAGAGGCACATCTGAGGGGCCTGGCCTCCACTCAGTGTGCATCGACCCACAGTGCCCGTTAGAAGCAGACGTGTGCATTCTAACGAAGAGCAGGAAACCTGACCCAGACTCAAGGGAGAGGCCCCCAAGGGGTGGGGCCGCCTTGGTTACTGACAGGCCAGGGAGGAAGGGGACAGAAGCTCAGGCTTTTCAATCCTGTCAGTTTTCATCAATAGCCCCAAACAGTCATGACGTCCCCCTGACGATCCTGCTCTGACCGACCGCTGAGCCCTTTCACTCCTCACCCGGGCCCGCTCCGGTCGTGGCCACACAGAGGGGTGTCCTGGGGCAGGTTGGGGACATTCCAAAGATTGGGAAATTCTGGATGGGCACGTGCTCTGTCTGTTCCTCCCCTGGTGGAGCAGAGGGGTGCCGCCCAGCCCAGCGCCGGCCAGGGGGCGCCTGTGCCCCGCCGCCGTCTGCCTGCCTCTCAGCTGCGGACGCGCCTCCATCTGCCCTCCGTGTCCCAGCTGCAGCTGGCCCGGCCCGGACGGGACCCCCGTCAACAATTCACGCAGTGCCTGCCGAGCTGGGTCGCAGCAAGTTCTGAGGGTGACCCTCCTGCCCTGTCACCAGATCGATTCAGTTGGGACTGCGACTTCACGTCTGCCACCCCAACTCCTGTTCTGTTTTGGGCATGATGGCGTCTGGCCCCCGCTGAAAGTTTCCACTGTGCTCAGGACCTCCTCCCGTGGGGACTTGGTGAAGCGGCTCTGCGTCGGTCAGCCTCCCTCAGTGGGGCAGGAAGGGACGGCCAGGCATGGTATGGTGACAGGGCCAGCAGCCCTCAACCCACGCTTCCTTAGACACGGCCCAGAAGTCTGAGCCTTCAGGTGGCGATGGCCCCCAAGCTGAGTGGCGAAAGGACAACGAAGGAGTGAATGGCCAAGTCAGAGAGCGAGGCTGGCCCTGCTTGTGGAAGGCTTTGAAGGAGGTGCTCAGCACGCGCATTTGTTCTCTAGTGGGTGGAACATTCTGGAACACACTGGAAAAGGAAGCCCGCATGGCAGGCATGACCCTGAACTGGATGCAGTTTAGGGTAACGCAGGGGCCCCGCAAGGGAGGGAGGCCCCATGAACCCGCCCGCTCCTACCTGGCTCTGGCTCTGGGGGCCGTTGGGACCGGCCGGCTCCCCGTCCGGCCCGGGGGTTCCCGTTGGAAGCCTGAGCCGGGAGGATGCGTGGTGGGCCCGTGCTGTCGCATGGGACCCTGTGCTCCGAAGGGCCCGTGCTCGGCGCTGCCTGCTCTGCGGCCTCCGTGCTGAAATTCTGAGTAACATCCTCCCCGCATCTGGGGTTTGTTGGTGAAGCAAGTGGGACAGTAACATGGGTGCTGGGGGACTGGAGCTGAGCCCCGCCCCCTTCCGTGACCCTTCCTCCTACCGCCCCCTACTGCCTCCTACAGGGGAAGACAGGACCACGAGTGTACATTTCAGTACCTGGAACAGCACCTTTCCCTGCGTTTTGAGTGAGGGACCCACGGTTCGCATCTGGCACAGGGCCCCGTGGGAGAGGCAGAAGCCCGGGCTTGGCCGGCCTGCCCAGGAGCTGCTGGGGGGACCCCGCTCGGCAGGCCCACGGACGTCCTGGGAGTCAGGCCGCCGCGGCTCCCTGGGGACGGTCCGAAGGACACACGACGGTGCGAGCAAGTCGCAGCTGCCCCCGCGTGCCCACGGCCAGCCTCCAAGCCAGCCTCCCGCAGCGGCCCCCCGCCGCACGGCCACCCGGCCCTCTCCTTTGCCGCTTCTCCCCGGCTCAACGTGTGGTCCCCCGGCCGGGCCAGCCTGTGCCCTGCGACACCTCGCAGTCAGAGACGCAGAGGCTGGACGGGACACATACCAACTCCTACAGTCATTTGGCGGAGTGTGATTTTATGTCGGTGGAAACTAAGGATAAAAAATTAGGGCATGAATCTTTTTTCAGTTCATGTTTTCTAGTAATTTAGTTTCACTGGATTTCACAGCTGGAGATTGGAGGCGGGGAGGTTCTGGCTTCTGACTTGCAGAGTGCCCCGTGTTTTGTGAGCTTCCCAGCTGTCCTTGCCTCTCCGACTGTCCAGGCCCTTGGTTCTCACCACCCCTCCTCCAGCCTGCATCTCCATCATCCTGGCACTTGGTGGGGAGCATCTCAGTGACATACAAATTCATGAGAGGCAGTCCCATTTCCATATGAACGCAAGCGTGGCTGCATCCCTAGGGGCAGCCGGAGGCCTCTCAGCGACTGCCCTGGATAGCGAAGCATTTTTTTGTTCAAATCATTCACTTTCCCCCTTAAAAGTCACGAGGCAATCTTCTAGTCGTGGGCTGAGACTGAGCTCCAGCTAACCCGCTTTAAGAAATAGCTGTGGGTCCTCCTTATTTTCCAAAAGGGCCATGTCTCATGGCCTCCCCTCCCTGGACGTTGTGGAAGCCCGGGAGCTGCGACAGCGACAACCCTTACCTCCCTCAAGCGGCCAGTCGCCAAACCACAGATGGTGGCCCTTCACCTGGGAAGGTGAAACAATGAAGTGGAGCTACTTAACACCTGACACCGCATTTGAGGAGTTCAGAGAAAATGGAGGAATTCTCCGTGCATTACTGAATGGCCTGTGTAGATATCTCATCCTTCCCTTTGTTTATTCTATTTAATTCATTAGCGAACATGGAGGACAGAGGCTGTGTGGTGAACAGGGGGCCGCAGCTGGCAGGGGCGCAGACCCCTGGGGGCCGCAGGCAGCCAGGGACAGGGACCCGGGAGGAGGCCACTGGGCTGTGGGCTGGGGGTGGAGGACAAAAAGACAGGATGGAAAATAGAAACCTGTGAGCGGAGTGAGCTGTGTGTGTAAGAAACTGTGTATAAACCACTTAGTGCTATGGAACGTCTATTTTTAAGAGGACACTTTTTAAATGTGTCAAAAAGAGACAGTCTGTTTGTGAGGACAACTGCTGGTCAGGAGGCCCTTCTCTGGCCCTCAGGGGAACCAAGCCGTGAAGTCGGCCGTGACCTTGGCCACGCCCTCACCCCGCCACGCCCGCTGGGCGGGCCAGCAGCACCCTCTCCGTGCACAGAGTGGTGCCCTGCGGCGCCCACCTAAGAAACGTGTGCATCCTGCAGGCTTAGAAGATGCTGCGTCTAAGCAAGTTTGAAAGCCTGTGTCTCCCTGTGCAGTTTCAAGTGCACCCTGTCCCTCCCGTGTGACGTTTCATAGCTGAGGATGAACCTTGGGATGTGCCTGAAACTGCGTGATTTACAAAACATCCTGGGTCTGGGGGCACGCCCGGCCGCTGGCCTCTGTGCAAATAGGGGTCTACTCCCCGGCGGGGTGGCCCTTCTCTGGAGGAAATGGTTTCCGTTTGAGAAAATGGGAAACCAAGAACAAACAATTCTATTCGAAAGTTTTCTTTTTCTAAAATAATGGAAACATGAACAGGAACAATCAACATTCTGAGTGAGGTTTTTTTTTTTTAAACCACCATTTTATTTCCAAGGGCAGATAAGGACTTTGCTAGGCAACAAGAAGACAGTGGCTATGGAACCACCGGTCGGTCTTAATAAATAACAAACGCCACGTCTGTGGCTGGGCTTCCACAGCGCAGCACAATCTCAATAAATAGATCACTCGGGGCTGCGCAGCCCCACAGTTCCAGGTGTGGCGTGGTCGTGGAGTGGAACAAATTCTGCACTGGGGACCGGTCCACTACCGGCGCCCCCTCCCAGGGGACCAGCAGCGCCCTGGCCCTCGGCGCTGGGATGGCAGGAGTCTCCTGGGCGCTCTGGCGCTGGCATCCTGGTGCCTCCGGCCTGCGCAGGCGTGGACGACTTCATCGCTGCTCACCTGTCACTGTGGTTTCAGGTGGGCACAGAGCAGGAGGAAGTGCCGGGGTCTTCGGGTAACGGGATGGATCTAAGTTCTGTGCGGGCTTCTGATCCAGTTGTCAGGTTCCTGTCCTTTGGGAGGTGGGCGCCCTGCGGGCTGCTGTACCCTGAATGTCTCCCACATGGCATGTCCTGGTGTCACTGGAATTCCCGCCAGCGCGGCACTCACCCCATCCGGTGACTTTACGCCGGAATACCTGAGAGGCGGAGGGCGCCTGAGCGCCTCACAGCAGCCCGTCGTCCCAGCACCCTGCCAGGCGCCTGCTGCCTGAGCGGGGCTTGGCCATGGCGACAGCGTGTCGTCACTGCTGTCCCAAGCACCACGGCTCATCTGAAAAAGCACCAGGAATTCTCAAGGTGGCTTCTGTGTCTTTTCCAGGTGCATGTGCAAAAGGCAAGAGTAAGTCATTCTTTTCAACACAGGATCCTTTATTTGAACTTTCCCTTGAAGGACAGCTTGTAGAGGGCAGGCCCAGCCTCCCTCCGCAGGACCCGCGTGGTCAGTGTTCCTTAAGCCTGAAAGAAAAGGGCAGAATAGCAGCTGGCAACACAGCCGGCAGCGGTCAGAGGGCAGGCACACAGCTCCTACCCCGCACACCAACCGCTCTGGCGCCAGCCTCCCTCCCTTGTCAGGCCTTCCTGCCCAGCCCCTCCCCCACCTCCACCCCACAGGCTTGGGGACAGAGGGGACAGTGGAGACCAGGCTGAGCTCTGCGGCTGCCACCTGCGACAGAAAGCCAAGCTCACAGGGAACAAAGCCGGCAATTTCCCGCACTGTCTGTCTCTCAGATTTGGAGGGGAGATTACCACCATCATACCCACACTGGGTATTTATTAGGAAAGAACGAGGGGCGTGAGCGAGACGCGCAATGAAAGAGGAGCGCCAGTTGTGCCCCCTCCTCTGGGAACAGCCAGGTGTGGGAAGCTGATAAGCCTGAGTGGCATTCTAAAGCCGAGCTTTAATTACGGGGAGAAGGGGCCCCCGGAGGGACTTACGGAGCTTGGTCCCCTGTCGCTGACCCTGGGCAGCTCAGCTCCTTGTGTATGAGGCGGATCAGGAACTGCACCGGAAACAAAGACAAGACCACAGCCTTAGGGCAGGGCCGGCAGCGCCTCTGCAGCCCCTATGTGCTCGGCCGGTCGGAGGCTGTCCCAAGAGCGGGGCTGCCACTGACCAAGTCCTACAGGTCACTGTGAGGGCCATGCTCCTGGAAATGAGGCTGTCAGGGCAGATTTTAGCCTGAATGACCTTTGGGTGCAAGGAATGTTTACAATGAAATGAATCCAATCATAAGGTGTCCAAAGTGGAAAAAGCAGAGAATGAAGACAAGGTGACCCCCAGCCACGGTGGCACGGCAGGGGAAGCGGGGGGAATGGAGAGCTGCACAGGTGACACCGAAAGCCAGGTGAGCGTCCGCCAGCCGTGGCCCTGGGGGCTGAGGAGGCTGCCCTGGGACCCAGGCTTGCTGCCGCTGCTCTCGGGGAAACCGACAGCTGGCCCTTCACCTCGGTTGACCGCTTTTCCTTCCCGGTCCCTTTCACGCTAAAAGCTCAGAGCCAGTTTACAAGTCCTGACTAAGGACTAAGCACCACCCCAAATTTGCCTTTCTGTGTGTGTGTGTTTCTCTGGTCTTTCCCCAGGTGTGACCACCCCCAGAAGATCTCGCTGCTCCCCAAGGCGGGCAGTGCCCTGGGGCTTCGAGACAGGTCCCTGAGGGACACCCTGGTTCTGGTGGCCCCACCTCTTAGACTGACAGCGGACGCCCTCAGGCGCAGGAAGGACCGCTGGGGCCGGAGGCTAAGGCAGTGGGTGCTGGAGGAGGTTTTGGGGACGACTGGAAACCCATGCAGCTATGTGGGACCAAGCCTCTGTCCCAGTGTTGACTCCCTTAGATGTTTAAGGTTCAAGGAGGAGCTCAGGAGTCCCATATGCACACTGAGCTCAGACTAGAGAAGAGGCTTTTTCCCCCACAGAGAAGATGCAGTCAGCTGCTTTGCTTGATCCCGGGCCGCGCTCCTGCAATTCCGGTGGGAGCGGCCGGGGGCGGGAGCGCGGCTGCCGCCGAGGACAGCGCTCGCAGCAGTATCAGTTGCGTTAGAGAAGCCAATCGGCATGAATTTGAACATCGATCTCCAACTACTCGTGAGGCCTGCTGAGTTTAACCTGGTGTCTTGTCAACATTAATTCTACCAAGTTCCAAATGTGAAAAGTGTTAGAAGGAGAAAGCTTTTAATTACAAAAAGCAGCTCATTAAAAGAAAGGAGAAACCGGAAGACATTGCTTGTCCTCTGCGGGTGCGGGATAAGCTATAAACAATAGCAACGATTCTGAAGGACCAAGATCAACTTCTGAAACATGACAAAAGTTCTGGTCTGTGCACTCAGTTCCCGACAGGGAGGGGACCCGCCAGCTCTGGGTGGCAGCATGAATTGGCGAGGGTCGGCCCATGGATGTGAGAGCCTGGCCCCCGGGTTCGACCACATGCCACGGGCAGTCCCCCAGGCTGCCAGGTGACAGGGCCGGGACCCTGGGCTGGGGGCTCCTGCCATTGCTGCTCTGCCATCTGCCTGCAACCTCCAGCAGCGCACGGCCTGCTTCTGCTTCTGACCTTGGTTTAAGCCAGAAAGAGAAAGGTTCTTGGACAGCGACGGGTGGAGAAGTCGGGTCTTCCCCGGGAGCTGCAGGAGCCCCGGGGAAAAGGCGTCCCCAGCGTGTGGCCGACAGCACAGAGACGCTGGGGAAAGGCTGCCGGGGCGGAGCCGGGCGACTTACCAGTAAGGCACAGGCGTCTGCCAGCATCAGCATATAGAACACGTTGTTCCACCCCGACGGAGAGATGAGCCCAGCCAGCAAAGGGCCCAGGGCCGCTCCTGCAACGAGGCAAGGGGGCGCGCGTTGCTGCGCGGGGGGACGTCTGCAACGGGGCTATCAGAAGCGCCTGAGCCCAACAGGTGCGCACAGCAGCGCTCAAACCCTCACTGATGAGCAAGCAAAACCACATAAAAACAGTGCCGTCTCCTTCCCCCCTGTCAGACTGGTGAGGGGCAAAAAGCTTAATTACGCCTGGTACCGCTGAGAGCACGGCTGGAGCAGCCCTTTTCTAGAAGCAAATCTAAAACACACAATGGCATTAAAATGTATTCTTTTGATCTAGCAATCCCTCTTAAGAAAATGTATCGTAAAGAAATCGGAATTTAACGCTCTAAGAACTATTTGTGGAAGTGTGAGTGAGGCTGGCCGACGCTAGCACGGCCTCAAGGTTGGTGTCCGGATCCTGCGCACCGGGCTGTGCTCACGGCAGGGAGTCCCTGGTTTCCGGGGAGCACACACTGACTGCACAGTTACTGGGGGAGGGGCCGCATATCTGCAGTTTACTCTTACGTGGTTCAGAAAGAATATGCATATGCACCTACATGTGTGCATGCATGTGCGTGTGTATTATAAGTGTGTGTGTGAGAGAAAATGGGGGGGGATAAGGCAAACATAGCGTGAAATCTTTGTACTTGTTTGCAACTTTTCTTAAGTCTGAAATTAGGACAAACTTTAAAAAAACTATAAAAACAAAAGAAAGCACATATTCCTCAAAATGATGAGGCATGTGATTTATTTCTGCAGGAGACTGGGACGAGTTGGGGTACGCGTGTGGATGGCGTGCTGTTTGGCATGCAGAGAAGCGCAGAGTGCCTGCACCGGGCCACAAAGGGGGGTTTAATCTCAGAGACGGGGCGGGGGGGCGGGCCCACGAGGCTCCCCCCCAGGACTTACGTACTGATATTACTTACTACTTTTATACTCTGAGAAGCAACTGCATTTTTTTTTTTTAAGTCTCAGAGGAACTTCCAGGTAAACACAGTAGATTGTTCTCTGCCTCCTAAACACTACAAAATGGACCACAACTGAATTAAAAAAATTCTAAACCCACAAAGGGAGGGGCAGATGGGAGAAGGCGCCCATCTCTGGAGGCTGAACTTTCAAGGGCGTGACAACGGACACCGGCGCTGGTTTCCTTGCTCTAGAGGAAGCTGGCCAGGGAGCCCCTGCCCACGGCCAGGCCCCTCCACGCGCAGGAGGCGGGGAGGGTGGCAGGGTGGGAGGCGGGGCGGCGGCCAGTGGAGGAAAACGGGAGCTGGCTGTGATCTTGTACAAAGTCCTATTCGATGCGTCCCTCCACTCCCCTCTGACCCCAGGTTTTTCCTCCAACGTCACTACTCCAACGACACCCCTCCTGCCCCCGACCCCTGCAGGAGAACAGCAGCTTAACCTTCGGAGAATTTGCACCAGAGGCTCTGGGCTCCAGGACACCAAGGCCAGTGTAGAGTGAGGATGTGGCAGCCGCCGAGCACAGGTGGATGCTGGGGAGGCCACCAGCTTCCAGCACGCCGCCGCCTGCCCTCCCACACATGATGAAAGCTGGCAGCTAGGCCCACACCCCCTGTGGGCAGCAGGGGCGTCTCCTCCAGGTTCCAGGCGACCCCGCTATTGTGAAGGCCAACAGTGGGCACGCCCTTGCAAACAGAGGGGCTTTTGATAGGCGCTTAGCGGCTCACCCTCCAGTATGAAAGGTTCACCTTCCAGTATGAACGCAGGGAGGGCCGGCCGAGGTCTCCTATATCTGAGGAAGCTCAACCAAAGCAAACAAACTAGGAGGAGGGGAAGCTATAGGAAATAAGCAAATCGGAGAGAAGAAAACACCCAGGAAACTATAACACCCTAGAGAACTATTGCACAATTACATTGAATCATACCAACTCCTACTTTTGCACCTGAAAACCATGTCAGTATTGACAATTTCACATGGCCTCGTCTAACACAAGCGGCAGCCAGGAAACAGAAGAGGATGCACTGGAAGGGCGGACAAGCCTCATGGATGTTAAAATTATGAGAGCCAACGTAAACAGCTCAATACAGTGGCTGGAGAGTCAAGAACATCTCTGAGAAAGCAGAAGGAAAAAATAAAGGTACAGGTAGAAAGGAAAGGAGAAAGGAAAGAAAAGAACACTGTAGGATTAATCCAGAAAGTTAAATGTCTGAATATGTTTTCCAGAAAGAAAACACGCAGAAAATAGTAGGAAAGAAAAAACCTTATCAAGTAAAATAAAGCCCATTTTCCCGGAGATGAGGGCATGAGTGAACAGACTGCGTGGGTCCCCAGGTGCCCAGGGCACGGGGAGGGGGGGAGAAAGGCCCCAGAAATAAAGACGGGAACCCAGAGGTTTCCACGGGAAAACGAGAGGTCAGATGTGGGGGCCTGGGCTAAGGACCACAGCACACTTCTCTGTGCGACAAGGGAGACTAGGAGACAAAGGACTTCAAGCCTCGGATTCCGCATCGACAAACCGTCCATCAAGTGACAGCAGACTCCAGATACCAGTCTTTTCAGTTCTCAAAATCCACTCCCCATGAGCTACTACTCGGGAAGCTACTAGAAGTCCTTTTCCACAATGAGAAGCAGTAAATACGGGACCTGGGACGTAAGGGCCCAATGTGGGCCAGAGACGAAAGGGATTCTGGCAGGTGGGGAGAGCAGACTGGGGACCCGGGGGCCTGGGGAGGGGAGCGGGGAGCGGGACGCGTGGACGTGGGGCCTCACAAGGGCTGACGGAGTGGGAGGTGGCACGCAGAGCGGTCTGTGGTGATAGTGCACAAGGGAACAACTCGACAGAAACTTAAATGTGGGGGAAAATGAGGCATTCGATAGTTTCGGGAAAAACAAAAATGTGCATGTTAGGATGCACACATTAAAGTTTTTCTGGTTTCAAGAGTGAATGATATTAACACAAGTGGATAACTGACAAGGATGAGGGAAGGGCTCGCGGGGGTGTAAAAGGTCCCCCCACGCCTCACCAGGACAGCAGACTGTGCCAAAAACGGATGAATCGAGGAACCTGTGAGTGCGCACATGCAGGAAGATCAGGAAGGACAGCTGGGAGCCACTGCTCTAGAAAGGGGGGCTGAGGGGATGGGGGGGCGAGGGACCATCGTTTGCAGAACAACATGCTTGTAAGCCTATCTAGCTTCTAAAGTTACAGTATGTTTTGCTTCAGTAACATAAACATTAACTTGAACAAATTCAGGGCTCCACTTAATGGCTCTGCCTGGAACACAGAGGCGACAAGCCTCACTTCCACGGGGATGCAAGTCCAGCACTGACCGCACAGAAGCGACCAACTGGTGTCACTAGGGCCGTGGGGGTCTGGGGGTCGGGACGAGGCACCAGCTTAATGATGGCCAGTTAAGCTTCGCCTCCCTCGAAACCGGCAGTTTCGGTGTTTAATAAAGACACCAGTGAGCTCTCTTGTGAGCAGTTTTGCTGAGCAGTGTGCATATCCCCTCGAGCCCTTTTCTGCTTCTGTCTAGTTGGGCAGCACTTCTGGAGAGAAATAATGACAGAGACGCAGCGGTGGGCAAGCGTGTGTTGTTTCCATGGCAACCGTTGCCTCGGGTCCAGTGCGCTGGAGCTGGCAAAGCCCGGGAGCCTGGGTCCCTCCCAGACCCCCCCGTGTGGGCATGACAGTCGGCCGCATCAGCAAGCACTGCGGGCCAGCGAAGGGGTCAGGCATGCCCCAGGTGCCGCTGCCCTCCTCCGTGGGGGAAGGGCGTTCAGCGCTGCGGGCCCTCTACCGCTGCAGCGACCCCTCCCCCGCCACCTTAGCCAGGTACTTCTGCATCCCTCTTGTTTTGAGAATACCAAGAAAAGCGTGTTCTTCACCTAAGTCGTACTTCCCTGCTTTTTGAAGCCCCCTCTTTTGCCTTCTATCAGCAATCAGGGCTGTTGGCCGAGCTCATGGGCCCTGGCAATGGGTGGCACAGCAGGAGCTGGACTGACTCACAAAGGCCTCTGGGGACAGGAGGCAGAGCACAGGATGTACTCCCAGGACAGTAGAATGGAGCTCGGCCCTGGAGTCCTGACTCCCGACCGAGCACGTGGCTTCCGGGTGTGGGAAGCTCCCCGTGGGCTACGGGTTCCGGGCAGGACGCGGGCTTGCTGCCTGCAGGGGAGTCCGCTGCCCGCAGGTGCCATGGGGCAGGGCAGAGCACCCGCCTCCCTTTTTCTAGATGTGTCTGCAGGCCCCAAGAGGTACCCCCCAGGGGGAATGGTCTCACTTTAAAATAAACATCAGAGCCCTGGCTGGTGTGGGTCAGAGGCTTGAGCGCCAGCCTGTGAACCAAGGGGTCATCGGTTCTATTCCCAGTCTATTCACTTGCCTGGGTTGTGGGCCAGGGCCCCGGTACTGGGTGCATGAGAGGCAACCACACATTGATGTTTCTCTCCTTCTCTTCCCCTCTCTCTAAAAATAAATAAATAAAATCTTTTAAAAAATAATAAAATAAAATAAATGTCAGAGAGGTGACCACTAACACCAGCCAGCAAATTCAATGTCACCCCTGGATCCAGCAAAATGAAGGAACCAAAGACGAAAATAAAAACGGGGCTGCTGTGACTTGGGGAACAACAGAAGCTTGAGCCTGGACTTCCCAAAAACGGGCAGTCAAGGGCCCGCACAGGCGGCTCCAGGGCCTCCGGCAAGGAGTGGTCACAGTGTACTTGAAACCTCGAGAAAGGTCAAGGACACTGCCCATTGTCACCAGCCTTCTGATCAGGCTGGTGTTTTACCAGCTCCCACCTGCCCCTCTCTGAGGGTGAGTTTCCTACTTTCCCACCTTTCTGTCCTTCAGAATATAATACTGAATTCTCTCTGAGAACCTCAAAGAGGCTGCTAACACCCAGAATCTGGCATGCTTTAGGACCCATTAGTTTTCCTGTCATTTACATTTTTTAAAATCCTCACCCGAGGACATGCTTATTGATTTTAGAGAGGGGAAGGGAAGGAGAAAGAAAGAAAAAAAGGGAGAGAAATATCAGTGTGAGAGAGAAACATCGATTGGTTGCCTCTCCCATGCACCCTGACTGGGGACCGAACCTGCAACCCAGGCATGTGCCCTGATGGGGAATCAAACTCACAACCTTTGGGTTTATGGGATGACATCCAACCAACTGAGCCCCATTGGATGGGGCCTGCCACTTACATTTGAATAAGATTCTATCCTGGAGATGACAACGATAAACAGTCACTGGACCAGTGGGCCATAGGCCTGGTCGCAGTTTGCCAACTGGTGGCTTTGACGAAAACTAGTTCCAACCAGCCACATACTCATATTGTTTCTGGAACCATCCGACCAAAGCAAGCAGAGAGTGCCACACCCCCACATCCCCGGGGTTCGCACGTGCGTTTGACCTGCTCGTATTTTAAGAAGGCCAGTGGATCCTAAAATCACTGAAGCAATTGGACTCGTGGCTTCTCTTAATTAGGACACGGCCATGTGGTTCCCCTGGGACCACAGTTAACCTTGAGAGCTAAAAGTATCCACGTACCTACAGACCCGGTTCCGTCGATGATGGCGGTCACAGTGGCGAGGGCGTGGGAGTTCCCCTTCAGGCTTTTGTGCGTCCCCTGGAGAAGGGAGGTCAAGGGTGAGGCCCGTCCCCGCAGCATCAGAGGGGGAGAGGACGCCACACCTCCCGCAGGACAATTCACACAGACCCCTCTGCAGAGCGATTCCCGTGGGTGTCTTCCATTAGAAAACAAAGCCTGCTCCCACACAGCCGACTTACCTCGGAACAGTCGGCCAAGTTTCAGGGGTTTTTAAGGGTCAGAAATCATCAGAAATACTTGTTCACACATATGCTAGCTTAAGGGACTCTTCGAATTCTCTCCAAACAAATACTCAGCACAATAATTGTCTTCGCTGAGGCACTCCACCAACCACGGCAGGAGACAAGAGGATCAAGGACACGCGTCCCCTGTTCCTAAGCCAGGACAGCATTACTGCCCACCTCCACGTTCCCGCTAGGAGCTTCCTGTGACATGTGTTACATGGCTCTACAGCATCTAAAAACCTAATTAATACCAAATGCCAGGGGGAGCGGGGAAGAGGGCAGGGGCCACGAGCCCCACGCAGGGGACGCAGCCCAAGATGACAAACCGGCAGGGGCTCTGGTTTGCAAAAAGCCACACACGCGAGGTCGGGGGCGGGGGGGGGGGAGAGAAACACACACTGAGGACAATAAAAGGAAAGAAGCCAGTCAGGAAACCTAAGGCCTAGCAACCTAAAACTACAAAAATAAATCAAAGCTCACGAAAACTAATGAACGTGTACGTGTACACATGTGTATAAAATAAAGCATACACACACAGGGAGAGTCACCCATAACCCCCATTCTGTAGAGTCTGGAAAGGAAGCCAAAGGCCCTCCTCTACCCTCTGACCTCACGGGGCAGGCCACAGCTCTGGGTCTGGGCTGGACCCTTCTGGCGTTTTCTGCGCTCATGCAGACAGGAGCACGGACACACTCCCCAGGGGCCATCTGAGGAGCACTCTCTGAACACAACGGCGAGCGGCAGGTCGGCGGCCTGGTGCAGGCAAAGACGAGAGGGGCCCAGCTCCCAGCACCCCCCGACTCTGCCTCGCCCTGCTGACTGCGGGCTCCGGGCCTAGGTGCTCCGCGGGGCCGAGGACAGTGCACGCGAGCTGCTGGGTGCTCACGGGGCTGGCTGTCAGGCGAGAGCACGGCTGTGGCCCTAGGGCAGACGTGAGGACTGCGGGGGAGCGGGCTTGCTGCGGTTTCTCAACAGGAGAGTGCGCTGGGGGCTGGGGCTCTGGGTCCGATTCCAGAAGGACTTGAGTGATGTCAAAGAGAAGAGACGGCTGGAGCCAGCAGGAAGGTTCCAGGGACTCAGGAGGCCACATGGCTGAGGAGCATGGCCACCCTGCCCACGGGCATGAACTTTTGGGGACCTTTTTATGGCAGGATACTGCTAGATTCACAGAAAATTTGCCAAGACAGTTCCCGGGTTGCTGGCTGCCCTGAACCCATTTCCCTGTGTCAATATCTTACACTGCCATGCTACGTTTGTCGTAATTAAACATCCAGTACTGATGTGTTATTAACTAACATCTATATTTTACTCAGATAACATGGGTTTATCTAAAAGATTTTACTTATTTATTTTTAGAGAGAGGGGAAGAGAGGGAGAGAAACATCAATGTGTGGCTGCCTCTTGTGCGCCCCTACTGGGGACCTGGCCCTCAACCCAGGCATGTGCCCTGACAGGGAACTGAACCGGTGACTCTTTAGTTCATAGGCCAGTACTCAATCCACTGAGCTACACCAGCCAGGGCAGATATAACTTGTTTTTTTAATCTAATGTTCAATTTAATCTCTTTCTGTCCCAGGATCCCATCCAGGAAACCAAGGGACATTCAGTCACCATGTCTCCCTTGGCCTGCTAGGCTGTGACAGCCCCCCAGAGTCCCCTTGTCACTGACGCCCTCGACAGTCTGACTGTGATCAGGTAGCGTGGAGATGCTCATCTATTTGGAGGGAGGCTATGGAAGCGAGCGGCCGTTTTCAGCACCTCCTAACAAGGGCACGTGTACGAATGCGACTCATCGCGTTGGCTGGTGCTGACCTTGACCGGCTGGCAGAGGTCGGGGCTGCCGGGTTTCTCGGAGCCACTTCATTCTCCCCCGCCCACGGTGCCCTCTGTGGGAGCAGGTGGCGCACACAGCCTACCCCCGGGAGGAGTTTGCGTCCCTCCTGGAGGGCAGAGCGTCTGCACCAATTCTTCCACACGGGAGAGGTCTCTTTTCTCCTTTCATCTACGAAAACTACTTTTAAAAGGGGATTTTGAATTTTTGTGCTGCACTCCCTTCAGGTGTCCACATATGACTACCATGTGACATGTCTGTCCTTCATGTCAGCTGGGTGAGAATGGCCTGCCTCCTTTGGGGTTGAACTGGGGTCCCTGTAATCGGGAGTCACCTGTCCCCTTGTCAGCAGCCCCCTCCTCTAGGAAGAAGAGTCCGTCACCCCTGTGGACCCCACAGCGAGGGTGGTTCCTGCCACCACGACGGGGACATTCACCAGCCTGCACAGTGACTATTTCCTTGCCAGGGCAGATCCTCCCAGGGTTGAGACCCGGTCCGGCTTGTCGGCAGCCCCCACACCAGCAGAGTCGGGCACAGAGTGGGTACCTGGAGTGGGCTGGGCGCAGGGGAGGGGCTGACCTTTCTACTGTGGCCCCAGGCTCTGTGGGGGGGGGGGCACAGTCACAAGCTTCCAGGGCCCGCAGGGCAGCACAGAGGGGCGAGCCAGGCCCCTGACCTCAGACAGGTCCCTCCCTCTTACCCCAGCCTCCTCGGTTGTAGAACGGGGGCTACCATCTGTCCTTATTTGCTTAAAAAATTCTCAAAAGGATAGACACTGTTCATCTTCAAAACGGCGCTTCTATAAACACACCGTTGTACTAACAGAGACCACCGTTGTCATGAATGGAGGAGGTGACCACCACAGCAGCCCTTGCCTGCGCCGCCCCCCGCCCCGAGCCCGGCTCTGCGCCGAGCCGCGCGGCCACTCACCAGGTCGGCGGAGACGGCGGTGGTGATCAGTGCGTACGGCCCGCTGACCAGGGCCCCGCTGAGCAGCAGCATGGCTGTGGAAACCAGACCCGGGGGGCGTTTAGTGAGCGAGCACAGCAGGGAGCGCCTCCACCATCTCAGCAACCCCCCAGGTGGGCACTCTGGTGTCACGGGTGGGTCCTGGCCCCAGTGGGATGCTGGGAGGGCACCCCCACACCCCTGGGGGTGACTACTAGGGCCACCGTCACAACTACCTTCCTTTAGACGTGCCCCGAGATGCCTTTGGTAAGGCCGGTCACAGTCCGGAACTGCACCCCTCACCTCGGTGGACGGCGGCTGCTTGGCACACCGAGGGGGGCGAGACCCTGTTGCACGAGCACACACGTGACCCGGGGCAGCTGTCCTCCCTGTCATCTGGGTCGCCGCCACCAGCTGCAGCCTTATCTGCAGCGGCAAGGACTTCCTCTCTGTCACCCGAGGGAACTGCCCAGCGGAGCAGCGCCCCGAGGCAGGACGGCGGTGCCCAGCGCTGAAACGCAGCTGCCCTCCTAGACTGCCCTCTGGTTCGCAGTCCTCTGTGCAGCAGCGTGCGGGCTCGGGGTAGCAGCAGACTCCGTGACCTGCCCCCAGCCCTATCGGCAGCCTGCCTTCCGGGGACCTTTCAGTGGGACCACACAGCCTTCATCCCTTCCGACCCCCACTGCTGGCTTGCTCAGATGGAAACAGTATTTCTCAGAGTCAGAGCCTCAGGTTAAAAATAGCCCTCCAGGGTTGTCGTGCAGCTGCCCATGAACAGTGGCCGACAGGGGCAGCTGGGAGGGTGGGCTGTGAGCCTGACCCAGCCTGCTCCCGCCTGCTCTCCTCTGCCAGGGGCACAGCCTGCGGCCTCCCTGGTGACAGCTGGCTTCTGGCAGTAGCTCCTTGCCGCGGGGCACTCAAGGCCTAGCACTGCCCCCCGCCAGGTGGCCTGCGCCTTCCCACGCTCACTCTCAAGCCGGCGGATGGTCCGGCCTTGTGCCTGGGAGCAGGAGCCCTGTGGGCCCCTCCCAACGGCCCCACCAAAGAGGGACACGGGGACTATTTTAGTCCCACTATATATGCTTTAGTCACCCCCACTAATACTCCTTTGTTCGTTTTTCATTGCAGGTCACTAAGCTGTCTGGTCAAAACACACGTATGAAAGAAAAGCAAGGCCTGCGGACTCACCTACAGTGGCTTCCAGACCCATTTTGCTGATGGTGGAGAATATGTAGAGCTGCAAATGGGTAAAAACAGGGTAACAGCAATGGTTTGCTACAACCAGCAGAACGACTGCCCAGGAATCACCAGACAGGTGACCCTCAGGCAGCCAACCAGCTGGGGGACAGCCCGGCACAGAAGCCACTGGCCTTGTCCCAGGCGCGCGGTCCTGAGGGCGCTTGCTGAGCTGGGAGGACCCTGTGGCACCTCGCTCTCTGAGCGGCTGGGGCGGGAGGCTGGGTCGGGGCAGTTCTCCCTCCGTCACCCCGTCTCCCCCTCGGGCCGCCTGGCCCCGCAGCTGCGTCTGGGGAAGCGGGAGTCCAAGGCAGGGGGCCACGCATGGTCGGTCCTTTAGTAACAATTCTTTGAGTGTCTGTGTTGGGTAGTGTCCACCACCCCAAGGTGACTGAAAACCAGGCTTTTTCTGGGGACAGTCATAGCCCAGTGGAGTGGGTGATGGCCAAATAATTGCAATGCAAGTTGATAAGTGATAGTATTATATGGAGTATTGTTGTAAAAACAGTAATGATACAATGTTTCATTTAAGCCTCCCACTGACAATGTGAAGTGTTAAGTCATCCTCATTTTGCAGATCAGGAGCTGAGCCCAACAGAGGGAGCGTCACCTGCCCAAGGTCGTGCACTACTGGATACTTAACAGCAGTATGGACCCCGCTGTGGATGTGGGGTGGTCAGTGCTGCTGAGGCGGGGATGGTGCTGGGGAGCGAGTCCCGGGAGAGGCGGGGGGAGGGCCCGGACCTGCCGTGGGGGGAGGGGGCCGGCCGAGGCAGGCCTGGGGGAGCAGGCGCTCTGCAGGCCCATGGGGTTAGCTGGGGGAGGTGCTGCAGTGCTGGGCAGCCCCCGGAAACCCCGAGGCCTGCGCGGAGTGAGCCCGGGCCGGGCCGGACAGCGTCTGCTGGTGGGGAGGCAGGCGGCACGGGCAGACTCACCGTCGGGGCGGCCAGCAGCAGCATCAACCCGCAGGTGGAGGCCCTCTTCTCCAGGCGGTCCGAGATGACCCCGGCCAGGATCCCACCTGCAAAGCGGAGGGACGGGTCCTCAGGCGCCTGCCCCCAAGGGCAGGGTCCCGTGGAGGGAAGCAGAGCACAGCTGTGGCCGCCAGAAGACAGTGACATCCCCTCCCAAGTCCCCTTTCTCGTTAGCAGGAAGCCTCCCAGCAGGCCAGTGTGCCTGCGGTCAGACAAGAGTGACCCGGAGGGCACCGCCCAGGGAGACAAAGGGGAGCCTTGGGGTCTGGCTTTAGGTTGGCCCCAGAGCCCCTTCCCCTATTAGGGTACTACCACCACCACTCTGTCACCTACTGCGTGTGCCTATCTGTCAGAACGCTAGTTCACGTTCAGAGTCAGGGCCCAGGATGCAGGAGGGGACGCGTCCGCTCAGGCGGGCGATACATCTTGGGGGACACATTTTCCTCTCAGGAGCAAGTCCACTCTAAGAGGCCCCGGGCCGCAGGTGCTCACACGCGCTTGTTTTGTGGCAGCAGAGCCAGTGGTGACGGACTCACCGAAGATCCCGCCCACGTCAAACAGGGTGGACAGCTCCCCTGCCTTCTGGGCGTCCAGGTGATCTGTTCAGACAAGAGTCGCTGTGAGGAAGACCCCACAGAACACCCTTTTGTTTCATAAGCATGATGCACAGCACGGAGCAATTAGTGAACTCAGATTAAGAGAAAATAAGCTGTCCACCACGTGGGCGGACACACAGCCAAGACGAAAACCACACACTCTTAACCCCGAAAATGGGGATTGGTCCTGCTGAGTCTGGTTAGGAACCCCCACTGGCTCAGTGGAGCCTGAGTTCCATGCAGCACAGGACAGAGGTGGGGTCCCCAGGCAGGGAAGGAACCCCCAGAGCCCCTCACTGCTTCCCCCCGCCCGCCCCAGGCACTGCCCCTGCCAACATGCCGGTCTCCTCCGTGTCTCCTCAGCCCCCATCCCTGGGGAAGCCAGCCCCTGGCTCGGGCCCCCGTCCGCCTCTGCTCGTCCCTGGAATGCTGCTGGGAACGCGAGGGCTGCTCTCTGCAGACCCGCATCTCACACGCCTCCTCTCTGTGACGTTCACCAGGGCCCGCGTCTCAGGGGACACCCAGGAGCTCGGGGCCCTCCTTGACCATCCCTCGTCCTTGACCATCCTGCCCTGCCCTTCGCCTTCCCCTCAACCATCCCTGTGCCCTTTCAGCTGAGGTTGCTGCCCCTGGACTCAAGGATCTTTTCTCGTAAGAACTTCTGCACCCTCCCCTTGTCTTTCCTGTTGGGGCCCCACACGTCGTGCAGGGGTGCACACCGCCGCTGGGACGGGATGGCCTGTCCCAGCCCAGAGCTTCAGCCCCGCTGGACACTTTGTAAAGAAGCCAAACTGTCTGCTCTACCCTCAAATGAGAGCTCATCCTCAGGAAACCATTTCCAGGTCAGATTAGGGAGCATTTATTATCTCTGTCCCCCGGGGCCTCAGCTCCTGCTCGCCAGCCTCTCTGACCTGCAGTCCAATGGAGCCTGGATTTAAACGCAGGCTGCCCCAGAACAGGAAGGGCCCCAAGGACCTGGCAGCCACAGCTGGGATTTAACACATCGTCCCTGTAACCCCATCAAGGTTATTACTGTGGCTACAAAACATGCCCGACCCAGTTCCCTTTTTGTCTGTACATTTCCTCTAATCCTGTGGTTGGATTCACACCATCGTGCATCATGCACGTCTCTTCTTTCCAAGTCTGTGGAACCAGCAGGTCCAGGGAGCATAAATCACAGCCACCGCATAGAACCTAGCACTATGCTTGGTTCAGCAACAGGTACTCACCGACGTTTGTGATGTAGAGAGGGAGCCAGAAGAGGAACGTGTAGCTGACCAGCTTTGCAAAGAGTAGACACAGGGAGAACTCGACCACACCCTGAAAGAGAGAGAGGCCCCTCAGCCCCAAGGTGCACTCACGGCTCATCTAAGTGCACAGCAGTCACCGATTCCCCGGCTCCTACAAAATGCCCACAGCTCAGGTCTGGGGTCAGCGCCTCCAGGTGGGCGGGGGGCGGGGAGGGCGCCTGGGGCTGTGCAGTGCAACCTAGGAGGCGTGGTCAGGGGACAGCGGCCGGCAGGCTCTTACAGCCCACGACTGCCCTTTCAGATAGAAACCCATGTCTTTACATCAGCTCAGTCAGCAAAAATACGGACTGATGTGATGCTCACACCACATCGCTCTGAAACCATAGCTGTTGAGGGCGTCCAGGACATAGGGGACAGCCACCCAGTTCCCGAGTGTTTAACGGTTGTTTCTTCCTCCCCTGAAACCCAAAAGACTGCAAATTATACAGTGACCGGAAAGAGACAAAATCAGCAACTCTGCCTGTTCCTGTGACAACGGACTCAAGCTCTGGGTGTGTTTTTCTGCCTTCCAGCCTTGCGAAAGCACAACGGGGCTGGCAGGTCGGTCCCTCTGCCCCCCTCAGGGAGGGCGAGCGCCCAGGGCAGGAGCCCTGACGACTGTCGGAGCGCCCGAAGGCCTGGCCGCCGCAGCCCACGTGGGCAGGGCTCGCTTTCTCCCTTCTGCCGCGGCTCTGCCCTTGCTCTCTGTCCTCGCTGCCTCTCCGCTCGCCGTGTTAGAAGAAAATAGCTTCCACACGTCCTTTGACAGCCGCCCAGATTTTCTGCTGAGGGAGCCCATGAATTTAATGCAAGAAAACGAAAGCAACAAGAAATCTCACCATTGTACTCTGCCTCCCAGCCCTCTGTAGAATAGCACCCCCTGCCTCTCCTTCACACTCTGCCGTGTGCACTTCACAAGTGCCCACCTGCAGCCTCGGCGCGTGCCTCTCTGCCCAGAGGCAGGGCCAGCCGCCTCCCTGCGCACCAGCACACCCGATTTTTAAACAAAGAACAAGCCCAGATTCCGCGGACCGTCAGCTTTCTGTCTCCGGCAGCGGCCTCTTGTCCTTGCCCTTGGCCTCTGCACCCCCCTGCCACTCCTCCTGCCCTGTTAGAATGCAGGGGTCAACAAACGCAGGTCTGTGCTCCTAGAGCGCTGTCGTGGTTGAAGCGCGTCGAGCAGGTTCGCCCCGTGGTATGGAGCTCGGCACCGGCACCTCCCGGGGGCGCACACCCAGGCCTCTGGGGCCAGCAGGCCGGCCGGGAGCCGGTGCAGTGGGAGGGACTGAGCAAGCTGGCAGCGGGGGCCCAGCAGGGCCACGGGTTCTGATTTTTCAAGTGAAGATGAGAGGCCTATTTGTCTATGCAATGTCTGCTTTTTTAAATGGAGGCAACTAATTTCAAAACATTTTAAAAAGAACGTTGAGGCAAACAGAGCACCGCAGCCTTGTTCAGTGCTGGGGCTGCCCGTCCGAATCTGTCTCTTCTGTGGACATCTGATCTCCGCCGTATATCTGCGCGGTTTGCTCTTTCTAAGCTGAGTTACGAACAGGGCAGTTTCGTTTCATAGTTCGCACGCACGCCCCTTTCGGAAACTCTTCCCAGGCACAAGTACTCACGGGGATCTTCAAGGCCCCCGTGAAGCTGATGGCGGCCATGCTGCTCCCGCCGTCGGCCGCCGGGAGGAGGACCACGTGGTTCTGTTGGACAGCACGCTTCCCGTCCGACAGCAGCAAGCACTGCATCTCTGGGTCCTGGAGACGAGTCCCGAGAAAAGACAAAGGGAGAGGAAAGGCTGCCAGTCCATCCGGTGGAGGCGAGGCCAGGATTCCTGACGACTGCGTGCCCCACGGAACGTCACGCGGACATCCTAGAGGACACCCTCACCGCGGCCGTCACTTTATAATCATTAGCTTTCCCACACTTTTAAGAAGTGCTAACTGAACATGCAAAACTCTTTGGCCCAGCAATTCTAGGAATCTATCTGTGAAAAATAATTTGAACGATGAAACACTACTTATACAATAAAATGAATGCCACACCCATTTTACGGTCAAGTCCATCTGTATTAACAATATATCTTGCAGTTGTAAAAAAAAAAAAAAGTGCAGGTTTTAATGACATTGAAAAATGTTTACAACACATTAAATGACAAAACATCACTCAAAACTGAATTTTCACCATGATCTCAAGGAATATATAGATATTAAATGTATTCGATATATTTATATGTTTGTATGCATATGTAACTAGGTAACTATAGAATATATTTATAGAAAGAAACTAAATTCTAAAGTGACCATGGTTATCACCAAGTGATGAAATGACATGTACTTTTTAGGAAAATGTCTATAAATTTTTCATATGATCCTGTATTTTTCAAGGAGCTCACAATGGACATACATGAGCAGAAACGACGTTATTTTAAAATTCACAAACCAACTCTGATATTTTTTAAGTTCTGATTTTGGACATACCTAAAGGACAAATTTTCCTTTATTAAAGCAAAAAACAGTGGTTCCCCCACGCGGGGCGGGGTTCCAAGTCAGAGCAACACGACCTAAATCTGTTCCTCAGGCGCGAACTATGAAGTTCAAGGACTTAAATAAAGGTTTCTCTGTATTTCAGACTTTCCACAAAACCAAACGGCTTGTACTGTATTTATCTCAAAACAGTCTATGCCAGTGGGATTCAAAATGCAATTAATTAAAAAAACAAAACAAAGAACATGGTAACACATGGCCATATCTGCCACCCGCCATCTGGAACTCTCTCCCAGGGAAGGATGGAGTCTAGAAAGCCGGGTGGCAGGCAACAGCCCCGCACCCCACGCTCGGGCAGCGGGATCCCGTCCCGGGGGGCGGGGGGCCGGCTCCCGGACAGGACGCGGCGCCGAGGGCTGGCCTCTGGATAAACACGTTCACGTTTACCGCGCGCCCTGATGCCTCCGCATGAGGAGGGCGAACCTGCAACGGGACAGTGCCCCATCTTCCTGACGCCGGCTCTTTGCACGTATGTGAAGATGAAGGACAGCTGTTTGAGTTGGGGAGTGAACCTTCCTCTCCTGGATGACGCCAGCTGGCCAGTTCCGGAGCCTAGATCAGTTGTTGTCAACCTGGCTGAGCCCGGGAACCTGCCAGGGCTGCAGCAGCCCGGACCTGCACCCATGACGGCGGTCCCTGCGGCAGGTCCCGGGGCGGTCCGGGCCGGGAACCGCCAACTCCACAGATGTTTAAAAAACACTAAGTGGGCTGAGCAGGGCCAGAATGCAGCCAGATACTGAGAAAAAAATAAAGTGGAAAGATTCGGCTTGGTCAGGTGAAGAGTCCCCGACTTAGAGAGTAGTACCTGCAGGGCGGGCACAGGAACCTACCTGGTGACACTCCTGGGTCACACCTGGTGACACTCCTGGGTCACCCCCCAGGCCCTTTCCCTGTTCTGTAAGTGCTTCAGGGGCTGCGGGGCTGGTCCAAAGCCCGAGACCCAGCCCCCTGCTCTTTGCGCAGTGAGGAGCCGCTCAAGTAGACATCAGAGGGAAGGCTCGTCTCTGTAGAGAATAGGCCTGCCGCCCACACCCCCCATCTTTTGTGCACAGTCTGGGGGCTCCAGCCACCAAAGTCCAGGTGTCATTGGGATCTGGAGGAGACGGGGAAGTGGAGGTCACGGTGAGCTTCCTAAAACAGACCCGGGGGGCCCTCCTTGCGAAGCTAATGGAGAACCACCCGGTGGGCAGACACGGGACGTGGTGTGCCGGGCTCCCCCAGGGCTCTGCTGGGGTCGGTGGAGCCTTGCGGGGCTGTGGCTTCTCTGGCCAGGCACCCCTCTCAGGTTGACCCTCAGAGAGCGAGAGGGCTCCTTGTTGTTAAAGCCATAGCATGCGATAGTGACGGCTCCCATCTAGACACGAGGAGCCCGTGCCTCAGCCGCTGCCGTCTGCAGCTACACTGCGAGGAAGCCATCCACCCCCAAGGGGGCGCTGGGGGTCCCCATCGTACCACAGGGGGAATCGCCCTCAGCACTGAAACAACCACTCACTGCTCATTGCGTATCTGTTGAGTTACAGCCGATCAGAAAGACCCTCGGAGAAGCCAGGGTGACAAGGACACATGACTCCAAGGATGGCAAATTTCTACCATCCCCAAGATAATCATAAAACCCAAGAGGACTGGAAGCAGGGCCACCGCATGGCTGAGTGATGCTGCAGCCCCTTCACCCACGTTTCCTCCTCGCCCGCCCCTTCTCCTTACGTATCTCCTCATTAAGTCGTTAAGAACCACACCGGGCACGCAGAGAAAGCTGCAGTGCCGCGTGGAAGGCGGCTGCGGTCAGGGGCTGAGGGCCCCTCAGCTCTGAGCCCTGTCGATCTGAGCTGGGCCACTCCGGGAAAGGGGACACCCGGGTCCCCTGCTAAACCTGTGACACGCCCTGCCGGCCGACCCAAGAGCCCCTGTAGCGAGTGAGCTCCCCTGCTACGCAAGCGCAAGGGCCAAAGCCTGGCCAGTGCCCAGAGGTCCCTCTGTGTGAGGGGACACCAGCGAATCAGGGCCAACAGCTGCCCGGTCGCGTCCGCACTGAGGCGCAGCCGGGCCTGAAACAGGACCTGCGGGGGCCTCTGACTGTGGAACTGTCTCTCTGGTGACGCACTTGTAAGCAGACTTAAGTAGGAGGAACAGAAAAGGAAAGAGTGGCATTACACTCAGAGGACGGGGCTAGCGTTACTGGTCAGCGACCGCACCGGAACACGGGGCCTCGGATCTTGCATCAGTGGAAAAGCTAACTCTTCAATAACAGTCGGGGAGGAATTAAGCCATTTGGACGTCGATGAAGACCGGATGCTATGGACCAAATATCTGTCTTCCTCCAAAATTCCTATGTTGAACCTGATCGCTAACAGAACGGTATTTAGAGGTGGGTCCCCTTGCTGAAATCAACGCCGTGATAAGAGACACACACGAGGGAGCTTGCTCCTTCCCTGGCCTCCCCGTCCGTCTACAAGCCGGGGAGTGGGCCCTCACCAGAGCCTGGATTTGCTGCTGGCGCCTTGACCTTTGACGTCTCAGACCCCAGTCTGCAGCATATGTATTATGGCAGCCCAAACTGACACCTGATTTTTTTTTTAACATAAACCCAGAACAGAGATTTTAAAGCATTTCATTTGAATTTATCATTACTGACACTCTCCCTAAAATCTAGGGAACAAGATGCATGAGACACTATTCCTCTATGTGCCATTATTTCAATCACCACAAATAAATTTCCTTAAGCAATAAAGAAGAGTTAGAAGCCTGTTTAGTACATTTATCCTTTAAGCTATCAGATTTAAAATGAAAAGAGCTTAGAATTTCAACACTTAAAACCAAATCTAAAATGCCCTGTGCCTTGGCGTGGTCAGTGAAGCAGAGGAAACTTCCAGGAAGTGTCCTGAGAGAGCAGGGCGTGGAGACCCAGGCAGTGGTGGGGGACCACCGGGCTGCAACGTGGTCTCAGCATCTCTGTGCCTCAGTTTCCTCTTCTGTAAAGTGGGGGTTGTAAGGGTGGAGGCTGGAAGAGGGCTTTCTGTGTTATCTCTTGGGCCACCTCATGTTCCCAGCCTGCCCTGAGCTCCCTCCTCAGGGGTCCCCCATGGCCCAGGTGCACGCGGACTCGCTCCCCACGGCCTTCACAGCCCTGTCCAGGGCCGCCTGCTTAGGGACGGCTCCCAAGGCCAGGCCCGGGCTCGTTCCCACCCATTCCTCCCTCGGGGGCTCTGTCTTCCTGGCAGTCAACTGCTGCAGAGAGGGTATTTTCCGTCTGTGCCCCATCTCTGTGCCCCAGAACGGGAGCCCCGCAGGAGCGAGACTTGTTGATGCTCACGGCGCCGACCGACCTGGCCAGCGCCTGCACCGCATAGCGCCGCAAATACTTGCTGAACCAAGGAGTGCCTCTCAGATTTGATTCAAAAATTGCACGTGAGCTTGGCCTACTATCCAAAGGAATCTAACAAGGGCAAATGCCAAGTTTTACTGAAGGAATATGAGATCCTGGATGCTTGGGACAGGCCCCGGAGGCAGCGGCACTGACGTTGGGCTCAGCCGCATCGGGCCTGACTCACCAGGAGCTTCTTCTCGTCAGGCAAAGCTGGTTTCTGCAGCCGAAATCTGTGCATGCCGTTCTCATAGCTTTTTGGATGCTGGAAGGAGAAAAAAATGTAATTAGAGCAATGACTACGTCAACAGCCAGAAATCACACCTCACTTCGCTCTAGCAGGGATACTTACTATCTTCACAAAAAAGCTACCAAGGGAAAACAGACAAATGATTAAAATAAAACAAAGGCTAATCCATTTAACCTCCGGGTCCACACCCTCAGATTACAGGTAAATTCTAGACTCTCAGATAATACTCGGAGAAAATAAACTTTTCTTGAATAACCTAAGACCGAGGTACACAATTCAGTGGTTTTCATTCAGAGCTGCGCGGCCACTACCAAACCAATATGAGGACATTCTCATCATCCCTCAAAGAGAAACCCCGTCCCTGGTAGCAGTCACCCCTCCTCCTGCCCAGGCCCACCCCCACCCCCTGGCAGCCCCTGGCTTACTTTCTGACTCCACGGCTCTTCCTGTTCTGGGCATCGCATTAGATGGGGCCCTACCATACGCGACCTTTGGGAGTGGCTTCTTTCCCTCAGAGTTGAGCTTTCTGTTTCACTGTGCCGTGCACCTATCCTAGGAACTCACTCCTACTTGTTGCTGAAAAATATTCCACCGTATGGCTAGGCCATATTTTGTTCACCTATCTATCAGCTGGTAGATATTGTTTCCACTTTTTGGCTATTAGGAATCATGGTATAATGAATACTCTTGTGTAAATTTTTAGGGGAACGTGTTTTCATTCTCTTGGATGTACCCCTAGGAATGGAACGGCTGGGTCACACGGTAGGCAGCTCGAAGCTTTTTGAGGAACTGCCCAGACTGTTTTCCAAAGCAGCTGCCCCATTTCCCTTCCTTGCCAGCAGTGTATGAGGGTTTCCGCTGATTATCTCTTTGATTCTAGCCAACCTAGTGGGTAGGAAGTGGCATCTCATTATGGTTTTGATGTTTCCGTGATGGTTAATGATATTGAAGAGCTTTTCGTGTATTCACTGGCTACTTGCATATCTTTTTGGAGAAATATCTATTCAGGTCCTTTGTCCACTTTTTAACTGGATTGTCTTTATTATTGAGTTGCATGAGTTCTCTGTATGGTCTACATACAAGTCCCTTATCAGATACCTGATTTAGATATATTTTCTCCCATCTGTGGGTTGTCTTTTAACTTTTTTCATGTCCTTTGAAGCATAAAACTTTTAAATTCAGATTAAGTCCAATTTATTTATTTTTTTCTCCCATCTCTTGTCCTTTTTTTGTAGCATATCTAAGAAGGCTTTGTCTCATCATTAAAACATACTCTTATATTTTCTTCCCAGAGTTTTACAGTTCTAGCTTTCACATTTAGGCCTTTGGCCATTCTAGTCTTTGTGTGCAGCGTGAAGAAGGGGTTTAAACGCAGTCTGCACTCGGATGCCCAGCTGTCCCAGCGTCAATTCCAGAGGTGGCCGCGCCCCTGGGCTGTTCCCCAGCACGAATGAAACTTGATCTATAGGAGCTTGGACATTGAAATTCACAATCATGGCAGAAAAATGGCTTTTGAAACATTAAAGAATATCAACTATAGTTAAAAAGAATCCTATGGCATTAATTTTCCCGAAGGCAGTTCTTTTCAAAATGGATTTTGTTTCCTTATTTTTGTAAGGTGCCAGAATCCTTCAAGTTCACTGTACTCAGAAGCCCACAGTGGTAACAAGTGGGCCTGAGCGGAGCCCTCGGGTCCCCTCTTGCCCGACGGTGGGCGCTGCTCCGGCAACGGGGTGTCGGCAGGGAGCTCGATGGGGTCCTGCCTGCAGCGCTCTCACCTTGTAGGGAGGGGACAGGCAGCAAGGGGACAACTGGGTTTCACGCCGAATAAGCTGCGGAGCCGCCAGAGGCTGCAAGCAAGGCAGTGACATGCTCTGACTTCCGTTTCAGGAAAGTCTTTCCAGGTGCAGGGTGAGGAGCAGGTCTCAGAGGAGCACAAGGGGACTGTTTCAGGGGGCTGACAAGTGGCTCAGAGGAGATGCTGGCAACTTGGACAAGGGCAGGAGAGGTGACGAGAGGGTTTACACCACACACACACACACACACACACTCTGGACTCGGTGGCGGAGAGGCCACAGGGCAGACGGAAGGCAGAGCTGGGACGACTTCCCTGGGTTTGGGTTGCCCAAGGGGTGGTTGGGGTTCGAGGGAGCCACGGGTCTAGCAAGTTTATGGGGTGAAACAAGGAGATCTGCTCTGGTCACGTTAACTCCGAGAAGACAACCAGACAAGTCTCTGGGGGTGTGAGGTGGGCAGTGGGATCCATGACCATAGGCTCGGAGGAGGGGCCATGCTGGGGGCATCAGCGGGGACTCAACGTCCCTCGTGGGCCTGCGCAGGATGCCTTACTATAAAAGGATGACTGAGGAAAGAAGGGGCCAAGCAGCGGGCCGGGGGTGCCCTGCATCTGGGGGCTGGCACAGGAGGGAGGCCAGCCGCGCACTCTGGGTAGGAACGGCCAGTGTGGTGTCTGGAAGCCCAAAGAAGAGAGTGGTTCAGGGAGGGAGGGAGTAACAGTGTCAAATGCCATTGACAGATCAAGTGGGGTCAGCCAGAGCACTGACCACCTGTCACCAGATGCTGCTCCTGGGGACCTTGGTGTGTGGTTTCAGTGGAATGGCCTGGGGAGCGGAGGGGAACAAAAGGGAGGGGAATGGTCCTATGGATGTGTGGTGGGGGGCTCTCAGGTAAGTGGGGAGCCTGGCGTGAGGGCAGCAGAGGCTTCAGCCACGGTGGGTGGTGAATTGCGGGCTGGGAGTGACACAGGAGAGAGAGGAAGCTGCGGGCAGCTCAGGACAGGCTGGCTGCAGGAGCGAGGCCCCAGGCCGGGAGAGGGAGGGCTGGCCCGGCAGGCAGTGGGCGGAGCGGCCTGGGAGGCAGAGGCCTGCCGTGCGTGCGGGCGGGGCAGGCGCCCTTTGTGGCCGCGGAGCTGCTCAGCACCCTGGAGCATGGGGTCGGTCATGCCTCAGCTGGGCCCGAGCAGCGGTCAGAGGGGACACATGGCAGCAGGTACTGCACTGACCAGGGAGAGGTGGTTGATGCGCTGGGCGGTCCTGACAGCCCACACGTATGTGGACAGCAGTTTGAAGTGACATCAGCCAGCTCACCCCCGGTGTCTTTCTGCAGTCTCATGGTGACGTCTGTCCAGGGAAAGCTGGCTGTCCCTGCTGCTCTTGAGGCACGGCCTCTGGTCATCCTCCATGAGGATGTCTCTGACCCAGACTGAAACTGCCAACATTCGGAGGGTGGGACCCTTATCCACTGTTACCCACTGACACTGCATAGACAGGACCAGACTGATGACAGCCATCAGACACCTGGCAGATGACACACCATCCAAGAAGATACAAGAAGCAGAAAGCGAGTTCTTACCGCCACCAGGGTGGGAGAGCAGGCTATGTCCTTCGGATCTGAAATACCAAACATGCAACAAGTGAGCCCGGGGCCGGTGCTCCCACCAACACAAAACATTAAACCAAAACAAGACCATCTGATACATTTACTCAATACCAACCCCCCCCCCCCACAAAAAACACCCAAAAAACAACCCCACCAAGCAATCCAGTTAAAAAATGGGCAAAAGACCTAACAGCACTTCTCCAAAGGACATTCAGACAGATGGCCAATAGACATAGGAAAAGATGCTCCACCGCGCTAACCATCAGAGAAACGCAAACTAAAAGCACAATATCACCTCACACCTATCAGAATGGCCACCATCAATAAATCAAAAATGACAGTCACTGGCGATGATGTGGAGGAAAGGGAGCCCCCCCCCGCCCCGTGTGTTGGTGGGACTGCAGATGCTGCAGCCGCCACGGAAAGCTGGATGGAGAGACCTCAAAAAAATAAAAATGGATCTCCCTTATGACCCAGGGCTTCCACTTCTAGGAATATGTCTGAAGAAACCCAGAGCACGAATTTGAAAGAATATATGCACCCCTATGTTCACTGCAGCATTGTTTACAACAGCCCAGATTTGGAAGCGGCCCAAGTGCCCATCAGTAAATGGGTGGATAAAAAACTTACGGTACATTTACACAATGGAATACTACTTGGTTGTAAAAAGGAAGGAAATCTTATCTTGTGACAGAGGAAGACAAGTACCATATGATTTCACTTATATGTGGAATCTAGTGAACAAAATAAATAAAAAACAAAATAGAAACAGAATCCTATTGACAGAGAACCGACAGCTGTCAGAAGGGAGGGCAGTTGGGGGGCTGGGTGAACAGGTGAAGGGATTCAGCAAAAAGAAAAAAACCCAACTCTCAGACACAGACAACAGTAATGGTGATCACTGGGGGGGTGGGGGGAGGGGGCAGAGAGGAGAGTAAAGGGGGATAAACACTGACAGGGGACTTGATCTTGGATGGTGAACACAAAATACAAGATACAGACAGTGTATGATAGAGTTGTACACCTGAAACCTATATAATTTTATTAACCAATGTCACCCCAATAAACTCAATAAAAAATAACATTAAAAAAAGATCGTCTAATATAAATAAAAAAACTATTTTTAATTGAACCTACGAGACCCCATCCTGGGGACCTAAGTGGTCCAGAGCCAAGTTTCAGGCAGTCCGAGTGGCTAAGCTGGCACGCGATCACACCCCAACTTCCCATTTACTGTGTGACCTTGGGCAGGTCGGTCAGCACCCTGAGCCTCAGGCCCTTTCCCTGGAGATCCACGAGCCTGGCCCGGAGCCTGGAACACAGGAAGCTGCTCCCCGTCTCCCCGCCCCACCCCGTCCTGCCTGATCCCAGATGTCTTATTTGCGATACAGGAAGAAGAATCGCCGCAGGGAGTGTGCTTACTAATTATTAGGGAGAGTCTGAGAGATGCCTGAATTCCAATACAAATAACAGTCGACCTCAGATTTTCATACAAGGTGTAGATGTGACCTCAGAGACAGAGCCGCACTCAGTGGGAGACACAGAGAGGGCGGGCTGAGAGGAAGACCTTCAACGGGAAGGCCGAGAAGGGCCAAGTCCAGCAGGCGTCCAGGGTCGAGAACCAGGCACTGGGGACCGGCCTTAGCAGAAGGGGAGTAGCCAGGGTGGTATGGCAAGGACAGCCAACCTCCAGGAGTGATGAGCCGTCCAAGGAGGTGCCCAGCAATGGAGGTGACAGCAGGGATCAGGTGCTGGGTGAGATAAACCGGGAGGACCAGGGCTCTGGTGGGAGACCGGAGCGTGCTGAGGACGCTGCTCCCAGAAGCGTGAGACACACAAGGCCAGGGGCCAGGAGAGGGGCGGGCAGGGTAGGAGGGGCAGTGAGAGGGAACTTTTGTGGCACCATGAAGAACAGGAGTAGGGAACTGACTGGGGATCCTGGACAACTTGGAATATATTGTTAATAAGGCAGGAGGCCACGACTGTGGGTAAGAAAAGCCACCAAGCAGAGGGATGAGAGAGCAGAGACAGGAGGGCAGGATGAGCTCTGCGGCCAGGCTTTTGGCTCCACGGCACCTCCCAGCCCAGTCTGCAGCCTCAGAACTCCCCGCGGGGCCAGCCTGCGCCGAGGAGAACCTGCGGAGCAGGGGGCGCAAGCCCAGGTCCAACGCGCTCCCCTGCCCCTCCACGTCCGCAGGGCCTCTTAGGACCACCGCGCAGGCCTGGTCTATGGCTTAAATCCTGGTGGGCCTGGGGCAGCCGAGAGATGGCACTTAGGGAGGAGGAGACCAGGGAGGAGAGAAACAGAGCACTGAGGCCACCACAGTGCGTGGAGAGGGAAGCTGGCAGGAGGCCCCCAGAGGAAGAGGAAGGCAGGACAAGAGGGGACGGGAAGGCAGCTCCAGGAGCGCCCTCTGCCCCGCAGGGGCCACGGCAACAGCTCAGGGGGAGGGAGGCTCTTATTTTATCAACAAAAGGCCAAACCAAAGCTTCCCTAATCTCGAAACTCCTGCCCTGAGCTGGACCGAGGGCCAGCCAGGATGGCCGAGCTGAGCGGGGATAGGCGCTAAGACCCCAGGCCAGGCCAGGCCAGGCCAGCAGGCCAGCCCACATCTCCTGCCACACACTCCCCTTCTCCTGGCTGTTCCTCCTCCCCCAGGACCACCCTCTCAGAAGCCGAGGAAGACGATAAAAGCCCCTGTGGACTGCAGACCTCGGCAGAACACACACATGGCACCCAGGGGCCCCTGTGCCAGCGAAGAGGAAGTGATGGTTCTCCAGGTGACTAATGCGTAAGGAACACCCTGGAGAGCCCAGGAGACAGCGCTCCAGGTTCTGCGGAGCCAGCCTGGAGGAAAAGAGGTGACACATATGGCCTTTCCCAGAACTCTGGTGACATTCAAGGTACAGCTAAATGCTTGTGGGATGGGAACACCCTGACACACAGCTACGGCAGCGCCAGCTTGTCTGCATTAATGTAATTAAGAATCCTTGGCCTGCTGGAGCTCTACTTTAAAAATTAATTTCCAATTCAATGACAACACGTTCGGTATTGAGTCTAGAATGGACCACTCCTCACCTAAGTAGGATACATGGTTATAAGTTGAGCCGTGTTTCACAACACTGTCCAAGATATGTTACCAGAAAGCAAACAAGCTGGCAAGGTGCATTCCACTTGGCAGCAGCAAGCCTGGGCTGGGCGAGCAGTGCAGCCGCCTGGGCTGGGCGCCGCGCCCATGGAGGGGAGCAACGTGGCGGCCCGAGGAAGCCATGAGACTCCCAGACACAAGGAGAACCACACAGGCCCAATGTTGTGGGGCAGGGGGACAGGGTGGAAGGAGTTTCAACATCGGTTACTCCAGAAGTCAGGAAACGGCAGAAAATACAGCGTGACCGGGGGAGAAACGGCTAAGGGGGAAGTCTACGCCTGAAGAAGGATGTCTACCCGGCGAGGGAGAGACCGAGAACCACACACCTGCACAACAGACTAAGCAACAGCCTGTTCTATCAACAACCAGTCCTCCCGCGGGGGGGGGGTAGGCGGGGCGGGGGGCGGGGGTCCCTCCCACGCCCCCGGGTACTTACGTTCAATAAGAAAGAGAAAGCACACGATCCCCATGGCTGCCACGATGGCCCCCGGCACGATGAAGGATAGGCCCCAGCATGTGGACACCCAGTAGCCAGCAATCAAGGACCCCAAGATGTTCCCCACGGAGGTGTGGGAGTTCCAGACCCCCATAATCAAGCCTCGCCTGCAACACAACAAGACACAAGGCAGCGAGTGGCGGTAGGAAGCTCCGGTGGGCCTACGGCCTACCGGGGAAGGCCCAGCAGCGCCCGCGCCGTGCAAGAGCTGGTCTAGGACTGAACGGGCAGCGTGGGTGCGTCCGCAGGACGCCGGCCTGGCGGTGCCTCTGAGGGAACTGGGGTTCACTTCACCCCGGAGATAGATGTGTATCGTTACGCGTCTCTCTGAGCTTCCTTATTTATGGTTACAAAGAGGAGTGAAATTCTTTTGGAAGGCCCCAAATTTAAATTTGTGCTTCTGCAGACTAAATCCAGTGATCGGCCGAAATGTCCCATCGACACAAGTTTCCGCGGCCAACCCCTCCGGTGGGCGCAGTACCTCGAGGAGGCTCGGTGAGCTGGTTTCCGTTTCCGCTTGCCCGTCTCCAGTATCTCCCACGCTTCTCGCCGCGGGCCACACAGAGTTACAATTGCCTCTGGACTGCAGTCAGATGGCCAGAGGCTGAGCGCACCTCCGCCACCAGGCGCTGGGCGACTAGTCAGGACTTGTCACGCTTCCACATGCCTTTGAGTCTTATTTTTAACGCAGCTTCTGTGTCCAAAGGCCCGGGGAAGGGCCTGCGCTCTGCACTGCTCCCGGGTTCCCGGGAGGCCGCGCTGCTGCTCCGCTGTGCGGAGGGACACAGGCCCGACCCCGCCCAGGGCGGGTGTTGGGGGCGTCTCCTGGGACAAAGGCCTTCTGCATTTCAGAACCTCAAGTCCCAGAGGTTTTAATTATCTTAGTTCATAGAATAAAGTGTTCTCTTTTTTTTCCCTACAATAAGTCTAAAGAAAAACTAAAAATAAAGTCTAAAAACACCTTTTAAAAAATAATGCTGCTGGAAGCAGGGTGGCCTTTTCTCACCTTCCTTTCTAAAAAAATGGTATTTTTTCCATTACAGCTGACATTCAATGTCATTTTGTTTTAGTTTCAGGTGTACAGCATAGTGGTCATGTTATCGAACAAAAGGACCCGTGGGGGCGGGGGGCAGTGGCCAGATGCTATTACCGAAAGGACACCCTCCTTCCCCTTTCTTCCCTGGGACCCCTCGGGTGTGGGTCCTTTGCCCGCCGCCCTTGGAATTATGGCTCTGAATGGCAGAGTTTGGTGAAAAGGAAAGGAACTATTTATTCAAAAGTTATACAGGTTTGATGAATGGCTAAATGTCACCCTTAAACCTCAAAATCCCTTCAAAACAACCACCAGCACACACACCGTCCTGCCTTCCCCCCTTTGCCCAGTTAGGCCAGTCAGGCCAGTCAGGGTACCTTCCTTCAGAAGAAAGAAAGAACAGGAGTCCGGGGCTCGGCTAGGGAGGCCTCTCGCGGGTCTCAGCATGATCGGCTGCGTCGCCGCGATCTCCAGCTCTTAGTCCATAACCGTGTGGCACCGTCTCCCGGCCCGCTAGCAAGAGTCCTTTCTCCCCTCTTTCTTCCCGCGTGGTCTTCACACTGTTCCCCAGAGTCTGTGTCCCTTTGTCTCTCCTGCAGGCCCCTGTCTCTCCTCTTTCTCTCCCAATTACATTCTGTACAGTCTTTGAAACCTTTCTGATTAGCTTTGGTGATATGCAAAATAACCCTCTTTGCATTTGAGGAATAAAACTATCTTGTTATTGACATACAAAATGACTCTCAGTGGCCCTGCTCAAGGCTCCTATCCCCCATGGCAGCCTGCCCTGGGGTGGGGAGAATATATTTTTCTTGGACACCCCAATCTCTGGACCCCGTTACAAATACACTTTGTGGGGGGCCCTGGCAGGGCCCCGTTACAGTCAGACAAGTATAGACTCTACAAAGTCTCACCTTCCTTTTCCAAACCAGTTGCTGAGGCAGGTGACGACGCTGGGCCAGCCGGTGGTCTGCACCAGCCCGTTGACGATCTGTGACAGAGGACAAATGGGAGGATTCACCTTGGGGAAAACATGCAGCCTGCCTTCCGGTGGGGCTCACAGAAGCTTCCTGCCTCTGTTCTTCGGGAGTTTGGGGGCAGGGCCGGGACCCGCAGAGAAGGAAGGAGGCCAAGCCCTATTCGATGGGAGCCCCAACGGCCAAAGTTGTATTTTACACTATACACATAATTACAAAGGTTATACATGCCCACTGTGAAAATGTTAGAGTGAGTAGGGAAAAGAAAGAAAAGAAAATCTCTTGCTAGAAGATGAACAGCTTGGGGACAAAGTTTTCAATCTCTGTCTAATCTAAACTTCATAAAAAGAGAGAAAAATTGTCTTCTTTTTATAGACCTGTGATTGTACTTTAAATATGGCTGGTAAAGTACACGCTTTCATGTCTCATGTTGTAAAGGAGGCACTGCAGTTAACGACCCTCTGAACCGAGTTTAACCTTGATCTAAAGCCTGGAGAAAGCATTTCCCCTTTTTCAAGAGAATCCTGGGCCTACTTTTAAGAAGGGATTTAGCAAGTGCTCTGGCAAATGAGTATGTTTTAGTCTCAGGAGAGCCAGGGGCAAGTTTTCAAGATGACCTGGAACTAGGTCCAGCCTAGTGCCTACTATGACCGCGACAGGGCCAGAGCAGCTCTCCAGGAGCCTGTCCTGTCTGGCATCCGCGAGCTGGGCCGGCCTTCCCTGCGTGAGTATGCTGGATCTCTATGAAGTTGTTTTTTCCTTCTTTCTAACTTTATGTGTTACTAACAAGGGTAAATTACTTTTGTAATTAAAACGGTCAAACTTTTTCAAGGCCTATGGCAAAATTTTTGAAAGCAAATTAGGACCCTGGCTAAGTGGCTCAGTTGGTTGGAGCATCGTCCTGTACACCAAAAGGCTGCAGGTTTGGTCCCCAGTCAGGGCACATGCTTAGGTTGCAGGTTTGATCCCCGGTCGGAGCCTGTACAGGAGGCAACCGATTAATGCTTCTTTCTCACATTGATGTGTATCTCTGTCTCTCTCCCCTCCTTCCTCTCTCTAAAAATCAATAAACATATCCTCAGGTGAACATTAAAAAAAAATTATGTCCAATTTACTTTGATGATTTCATAATACCCCCCAGGCTATCTGAAGAGCCTCAGAAGTTGAGCTCATCGTTTAGTCATTTTCCCTTTCTAGTAAATATTTATCCACGGGAATGTTGGGAGGGGCAGTAGCCTAGAGCTTCAGGAAGGGCTGGGCCCAGCTGGAAGGGCAGAGCCACGGGCCAGTCTGACCTTTGAGCGCCCTGAGGCTCTCTCCTCCCACCGACTTCCTCCGACCCAGTCCCACTGCCAGTGACGCCCAAGCCCTCCCCTCCTCCTGCCCTTGCTTGCCCTGCATCCCTATGACTCCCGAGCAGGTGGATCTGTCACCAGACGGAACGTCCAGAGCTCCTCCAGGGCTGGGTGGAGAGGCGGGCGCTGCAGCTCCTGGCAGTGGGTGTGGACAAACAGGGACCACTGCACGACTGCTGGGATTTTAGAGAAGACAGGAGAGGCTTCACGTGTCAGCGCGGACCCTGACATCAGACAGAACCCAGGTGTGCTGTGCACAGCCCCCCACTGATGCCATCGCCTGCCCTCGTCTCTCTTGGCAGAGGCAGGGACCCGGGGCAACAGAAACGCCCCATCCAGCTCATCACAGAAACCCCACACGTGGTGAGCCACGTGCCCAGGCCTTACCTGAGTTACCACGTAGAAGCCAAAGCTATGGATGTTGTAGAAATAGCCCAGCCCAAACAGGGCAGTGAAGGTGCCACTGGCCAGCATTCCGAACGTTAGGTAATATCTAATTGGCAGGCGTTCCCCGATTATGCCACTGGGATAAGGAAAAAGAAAGACAAATATGAGCAAACAAACACACCCATAATGTAAATGACCAGCGATTTCTCTCGGGATGTTTTCATGCTGTTCTCTGAGCTTTTAGAACTCCAAAGCCCTACAGTTTCCTGGAAGACTTAATCATCATGATTTCCCAATGGAGCATTTATTAGCCAGGAACTGTCCACTGGCAACATCTTTTAAGACTTTATTTACTTCTAGCAGAAGTCACTCACTGTCAAATGATAAACCTTGTACACCATGGCTCACACGTATGATGGCTGCCAGTTAAAAAAGCCAAAAACTTGTCCTGCTAGTTAATTCTGCTTTTACATAAACAATATCCGGTTACAATTTCAGCTGTCAACCTGCAGACAGATGTCATAGAAATGGACCGCCTGTGACCGTGACCAAGTCTCCTGGCCACTCATGTGTCAGTAAGTCGCCCGCATTAATGGTATGGGGTCCATGCTGGATCTCTACCTAATAGTTTTAAAGGAAGGGACGCTACCCCACATTATGGCAGAGCCACACAGGCACTGAAGGCCACCCCATGCCTGCAAACACCCGCCAGGAGTGACCGGGCTAAGGAAGGCGCCTGTCACATCTAATTGTATCCATTAAGTCATGTGATGTCACTGAGAGGCCATGCGAGGTGGCTGTGCACACCCTGCTGCCGTCATGAGTGGACCGTGGATTTCCCATGAGGCAAAATTTCATAATAACCCTCCCTGCTGAGCTGCATGAAAAATGATTTTGGCCAGTAAATAAGCAACAATAAAAGCACTTTCTTTAAACTGGGTTCCTTAACCTCAGCACTGTTGGTATCTCGGGCCAGGAAATCCTCTGTGGGGGGAGCTGTCCTGTGGGCTTTAGCGACCCCTGGGCTCTGCCCGCGAGGTGCCAGCAGCACTCCTCTTCCAGCTGTGACACCAACTATTGCTCCATGTTTCCTAAGGGACGACAATCGCCCCCAGCTGAGAACAACATTTAAATACTGCTTTCTGGTAACTAGGAAAAACACACTCCAGGCTTTGGGTCTGTTTCTTCTCTAGGTCATTGGTGTCCAGTCGGGTCAGTCTCTAGAACATAAACGTTGTTCCTCAGGCTGGCACAAGGCTAGCAGCCGGGTTGCCCCCCGTGCCCGGCAGCCCAAGGCTCCCACAGCACTGCCGGTCCATCGGGCCGCGTTCAGCTGTGCACCGCACGCCTTGGCTTCCCTAGGTGTCATTGTCCCCATCTGTGGCACTCTGCAAATGTGCAAATACAATAGAGGAAACCATCCACGCCACCAGAAGAACTGCCTGGCTGGGCCCAGCCATGCACAGGGGCGCCGGGCCGGGGTGGGGCCCAGGTCCAGGCGATGCCTCACTCGGATAGGCCTCAGGGAGGAGGCTCCACATGGACAGCATCCCTGAGGCTCTTGAATCTCTGAAGATAACAGTCTCTAAACAAAAGCCTCTTGGGTTCAAGGCCTCAGTCCCTATTATGCTAACTTTCCTCCAACCTGGCTAGACTCACATAAATACCACTATCGAACCCGCCAACCACATGTCCTGTGACCCACTTAACACTCGTCCTCTTCCTGGGACAGTTCAAGAACGGGACCAGGAAGAACCCAGGATAACATCACGTGGGACAGACGCTCGGCACGCACCACGTGCCGGCACCGTGCTGAGCATCCTGCGTGTATCAACTCACGAATCCCCTCCACAGGGTAAGAACTGCTCTTTCTCCCACTTTGCAAAGCCGCAGAGTAACTGCCTGTGACCACAAGAGCAGGCGGCGGAGTTGGGATTCAGATCCCAGCGGCGTGCCTCCGTGCACGCCCCAGCAGCCAGGCTGCGCGCCTCTGTGCCCGGGTGAGGAGCTCTGTGTGGGCCGAACGAGGCGTCCATGTGGACGCGTCCAGCACACAGTTTATAAACTGTGGAATTAGTGACTTGGGGCCGTAGACAGATGGTGACTCCTGAGACCAGAGGCGAGGATGTGCTCTGTTGAGCACCACTAGGAGCCGCTGGTGCTCCTACATGACGATGTCCCGGCAGGGTTTGCTGTGTGCCCTAAACCCAAGGGCCAGGAAAGCCATCCGAGGACAGCCCGCCTTGATCAGCAGAGTGCCCGGGTCTCCTACAAGCGCTGCTCTGTGGTCACGTCCTCACAGACACAGCAGTGCACGCTGGCTCTCACGTTTTCTGTCTCTGAGGGAAGCCTGGGAGGGGAGCGACCCGCGGGTGGGGCCTGCTGTCACACCCTCTGCAAACAGCAGTGCGCGGGAGAAGGTTCTGCGCTGAGTGGTACACCTGGCGCGCAACCTGGAGCAGACCTACCTCAGGTACATGCCGATGGCGTACGCGCACAGGAAGGAGTAGTCCAGGGCCCCGAGCAGCTGCTGGTAGTTGTCCTGATCTACACGAGGGAAATCGACAGGCAGAGGTGAGTGGTGCTCAGTTCCCACTGAACATCGGTGTACGTTCTGGGGCAGGGCAATGGAACACAAATCATCTGCTTTCCGGGTGTGAGCACCATGCTCAGAGGGGGACCCCAGAGGATACGGTGGCGCGCCTTCTGTCGGGCTTCTTGGCAAAGGAAAAGGCAGCCACCGCATCCCCAACAACCACTGAGTGTACACTATTTGTAGGAGAGCCCCCACCGGTGGCTTGCAGCAGGCACCGGTTTCTTCATTTCCTTCAGCCCCGTTCACCAGACCTCTGTGGTCTCTCCTTCCCACCCACGGTTCGTGCTCTGCACGTCCTAGCTTCCAGCTTTGACACACACAACACGTGGGCTGTCTCTAGCGGATTTCCCCCCTGAGACGGTCTTTATTCAGGTGGCAGCGCCTCTGCACGCAGGCCCCACGACACAGCAGCAGCGGCTGAGGAGTGGGAACTGGGTGGGACAGAGCTGCTCCCCGAGACGCAGTCACACTCGAGAACACCAGCACTGCTGCCCAGGGGCAAGGCCGGAAGAGCCAGGCCACACCAGCGGTCTCTCCCCGTCCTGGCTGTCCGGAGCCCCACAGGGATGGCCCACTTCAGAAGCGCACGGACACAAGGGACTCACCAAACGGGGCCCAGCCGCAGTCCGTCTCGTTGTCTGGGAGCTGGTGAGCAGGGATGTCACTGGCTTTTTGGCTGTGGCTGCTGGCTCTGACTTCGCCCTTATTCACAGGAGCACAGTATCTGTGGAGCTCACCCTGGACATCCACGGGGAAGACAGAGGCCAGAGAGAGAAAGCGCACTCAGGTGAGTTCGGCAGGGCTGCAGAGTAGGCACAGTGCCCCGGCTTCCCAGCCTTCCCGGGGCACTGGTTCCGGGGAGGGAGTCACTGCTTGGGCGACCGCCTGCAGGACCGCAGAAGGCTGGTGGGCAAGGCGTCGCAGGCTCTCCAGCAGCCTTCCTCCTGAGCACACACACAGCGAACCCGGGCTTGCCCAGGCCACCGAAGACAGCTGCTCAGAGCGCCTGTGCCACCGAAAGCGGACTGCCTGTCCTCCTCGGACCACCTGCCCAGAGCAGACCAATGGACTCATCTCGCTAGGTTTCTACGGCTGAACGCCACTCCAAAACAAGGGAACAAGCTCCAGGTCCCCACAACAACAAGGACGCCACTCGCACACCATAAGCCTGACACAGAGGCACTCAGATGGTAGGACTCCGTTCCATGTATGACATTCAAGAACAAGAAAAGGACTCCGTGGTGACCTTGGTGAGAGCTGGGGTTGCCTGAAGGAGGGCGGCGATGGGAGCCAGGGCGCAAGGAGCCTGCGGGTGCTGGCAAGGGGCCAGGCTCCAGCCTACTGGTGATTTCCAGGTTAAGTGTAAGTATTTGTCTTGGCGGGGCGCACGGGACTTGGCCGCTTCGTGGTCACATGGCTGTGTCACCATGGCCGAAAATCCAGCCTGAAAAATCCAGCCAAGGGTCCTGCTTTAAAAATTCAAAGTCGCTAACCAGCAGCTTTGCCCAACAGTTTTCCGCAGCAGAGCTCGGCTTCCCAGGGGCTGCAGGTTCCCCCTTTGGGAGTGAGCCGTCTCTCGCCCGGGCCTGCGCTCAGCTTGCTGACAGGCCACCAGGGCGACCGTGCGGGGCTGTGGACAGGACCGTGAGCTCGGGTCAGACACGTGGTGGGGGGTCTGCTGCGCTTCCTGTCTGCGCAAAGCTGGCACTTTCAGCATTTTCCCATTCATCCGATTTTATGTTCTTCCCCCACTTCGCCTTCAGAAGTCAGGTGTCGCCGCCCACCTGCTGCTGCTTCTCGTGGAAGCCACGCTGGCCCGACCTGAGGCCTCGCGGACGCTGCTCTGGTCAGTTCCCAGTCAGAAAGCGACAGGTCCGGTGGGAGAGGACCCTCCCAGGCGGAGAGGGACCGGGACCAGGGCCGGGGCGGGCTCTAACGCTCGCCTTACATGGACACACGGGACGAGGAAGGTTGTAGACTGTGCATTCAAACAGAATTTTAACATCCTCTGCTATCATTTCATATTCCCCGGAAGGAACCATCCCCGGGAAATGCAAAAGATTACCTATGCTCTCTCTCTGTTTCCTAAGTGAACAGAACAGCATTTCTGTTCTGTTCTGCCCTGCAACAAAAGGCAGCCTCGCCTCCTGGTCAGGGACACAGGCCCTGAGCCGGGATCCTGGTGCCCCTGCACCAGCTTCTGACTTCACTCGTTCGAGTCATGAGGACTCTCCACTGTCAGCTCCGCAGCTGGTGTAACCCGGCCTGTCCCAGCGCAGCTGCCGAGCTGAACTGTGTACGGAGAGTCTCACCACACGGCCTCTGTCCCAACTCCGACCCGCTGCCCCTGGGCTGGTGGCTTCATGGTGGTGCCCCACCCTCCATCCCTACTCCAGACACTTGCCTCATGACCCACACACAGGCTTTCGAGGTCAGTTCTGGACCCCAGGAAGGCTCCCCAACTACTCTTCTTTCTTCAACTCCATGGTGCTCCCTAAGGCCTCTGCAAAGGTCTCTTCTGTTTTTATAACTTGCCTCGCCTTGGCCAGTGTAGCTCAGTAGGTTGGGCATCATCCTACAAACCTAAAGGTCACTGGTTCGATTCCCGTTCTGGGCACATGCCGGGGGTGCAGACCCGTCCTTGGTTGGGTTGTGCGCGAGACGCAACCAATCAATGTTTCTCACATTAATGTTTTTCTCCCTCTCTTTCTTCCTCCCTTCCCCTCTCTCTAAAAATAAATAAATAAAATCTTTTAAAAAATAGCATGCCTTTCTCTTGGGCTGTATGTGGATTTCCTTAACCAGAAGGACAAGAAGTAGTAGTAGTTACATTCACAGTGGGGGCCGCTGGTACTGATTTTAGAGTCACGGGTCGGGTCGATGAGCGTTTATTAAGGCCCACTGCGTCTTGCTCACCCCTGTCTTCTTCTAAAAAACCACATGTTGAAAGGTGTGCAAACGTTTCCAGTCATTACAACTAGGTATGTCAAAAAAGTGAGAATTTTGCACACAACTTGAAGGCACGGGACGTTCCTGCTTCCTAGGAGTCCTGGAGGAGTTTTAGAATTTCTGGAGTAGACAGATGATGCCTGACATCCACTGGGAGTTCCTAGAGAACGGGGAGCAGAGAACTGTCCACAGAAGCAACAGCCTCGGAACTGTCTCTCTTCCCGCCTGGGGCTCAGAGGGCAACTGTCCGGGCTTGGCCACCCACGGGGGGGTTGCGGGGGCGGAGCATGGCGACCCAGGTCCACAGAATCACGGTCCTGGGTCTGTGTCCCTGCCGACGAATGGTAAGTGAGGGAGAGGGCAGCGAGCTACATATGAACTATCTTCAGCAACAGACAATGTCCTTATTCCTTCCACCATCAAAAGTCCAAAGCCTTTCAAGCCCGTTGACAATCTACAGGCAACATGATTTGATTCCAAGGAGGGTAAGGAAATCACCTTGGTTGCCCCGCCCCCTCATGACTGGCTATTAAGTAGGACGGCCTACTTGGATCTTCTTTGCTCAGAGTCTCGTTAAATGTTAGTCTGCTTGTCTGCTTGACAGCTTCTTCCACCCGTCACTCAAACAGAGACTCGGCGTTTCAAGAATAGCGAAGAACCACCGCCAGCGACAGCCGGACGAGGGATCAAAATGCAATGATGGCGGAAGCAGTTTGGGAACAATTTAGGATTGGATACGTTGGAGAGAAAATTCACCCAAGACAAGAATATATATTTAATGAAGCTTTAGAATTCTGAAACTGTCAACTACTATAATTGAAAGTATGCTACCTCTGAAAGTATAACTCCAAATGCCAAATGCCATTTTAAAGAGTTTAATTTCAGAAAAAGAGAAACTAAAAAGCAAGCCAGCACAATAACTTGCTTCTACCGAATCCCTTTTCTCCACTTATTTTACCTTCCTACTCCCCCTTCAGCCCCCCCACCCCCCGGGGCAGTTGCCTCTTAAAGTAACTACTTTGTTATGGAAATTACAGGCAGGATAGGAAACTAAGTGTTTTATGATTTCTTACCTTAACTATGCTGATTGGCTTTCGAGATAAGTGGAAACTCGCATACAGCAAAAATGTCAAAATAAAAATGAAGGCTCTATACCTGAAACACAAAACAAGGGTAGAAAATGATATTTAATAATATGAGTTGCATGAAAAATACATGGTAAATATAATTCTTAAATTTTCTTATGCTGTGTATTATTCATTCCATCCTATATCAATTATCCATCATATTGATAGTATCACTATAATATTATATTAAACAAGTGGGACTTCTGTCCAAATGGAAACTATTTAAACATTCATTAAAAGAACTATAATCAAAGAGAAATCTGGGACTCAGAAGATGAACACATGTTTACAGAACACACAAAAAGAAAAGATTATTTAGTTTGAAACAAAATTAACTGCAAGCTTCTTGTAAGCCTGCTATCATGGGCATTTAAGATCATGTTTTTTACATTTTAGCTTCTGTGCAACTTTTCAGAAGAACACAAGCAAGGCTGGAACATAAATATCTCACTGACCTCAATGAGAGATACCCAGTGATGCTCACAAGCTATGAATATGGCTGTTGATATAAAAATACTGGCTCAAAGCCCAGCTGCTCTTTTTGATTTATGAGAAAAGCAGTTTAAGGGGGAAGTGCTGAAATATATGAGAATCTAAAGAAAAGAAGATACTGTAGGAAGAAGACAAAAGTTTATTGCAGTCTAAAAATTTGAACCATGCTATGGAAAAATATTTCCTAAGGCAAAAAAAAAAAAAAAAAAAAAGGAAGGAAAAAATGTTTGCAGGAGATGAAGACGAGGGGCCTCCACCAGGAGGGCAGGTCCTTCTGTGTTCCGGGGCCCAGCCCCTCCCCCGGAAGTGCCTGGCCTGGATCTGGCCGGAAAAGGCCAAAGCCATTCACGTTGAGCGATGGCATGCACTGATAATTGCCTAAGAACAGAGACAGGCGAGGGACCTATGTCCCCTTTGGCCTGGGGACCCCCCTTCCAGCCTCCTGTCCACAGTGATGACTTATTCCTCAAGGGCAACATTCACTGACAAACACAAAGAATCCTAGGGGTGCCTGCCTCTTTGGCCGGTAGGGGACAAATAAAAATTTCTAGATTAAGAAAATAATAAAGATCATATTTAAGGTGGGGGAAAAATGGGTTGATGGGACCATGGGGTACCTGTGCCTTGGGGAAAGGAAAACGTCAAACCCGCTCGCCAGGCACTCAGTAAGTACCTGACAAATGAGCGAACGAAGGCCCCCGCGCTGGCGCTTCTCTGCATCAAGGAAATGCACGCTGACGGTTTTCCCAGGAGCCTTTGCTTTCCAGGCCCACGCCAATGACCAGATAGAATGAAAAGTACAGCCATAAAAAAAGTGTCTATTTTATCCCAAGGAACAAAGACTATGCAGGCGCAATGCCTCTGTTACAAAGTCCAGGCCTTTGTCCTTATGCTTCTGAAAACCATCTGCTTGGGTGGAGAATGGAAGTCTCTCCATTATTTGCTGAAGGTTCTCTCTCACCCCACCCGCTGCTCCTGGGTGCCTTAAGGTGTCAGCATAGGAAGCATCTAGGCCACCGGAACGCTGTAAGCCCTCAATACCCACATTCCCATCCCACAAGTAGACTTGCTGGCCGCTTGTATCCTCACTGCATGTGAATTGCTAGGGCGAGTGCAGTCTACGGGGAACCCTGATCTGCCCCCATTTGGGTACAGGGTCCCTTTTCCAATCTCTATGAGGAGTATTTTGAAAAAGTTCTCAGACTGGGTTACCTTCACACCTCAGAGTATGGAGGAAGAACCTGGAGCCCGCAAGGATGCTACATGCTATCAGTCACAGCTCTGTGACCGCCCTGGAGAATCCAAATGTCTAATCACCCAGCTAAGAAGGATTTTGAGAAAGTAGCTTTCCTTGAAGGAGCCTTGGGTTCATGCTCTCTGCCCAGAAATAGAGCATTCTATCTATAAATCCTCGATGTTTATTAAGCATATTACCATATGTATAAGATAGAATTAATAACCCCAGAATAAAGAGCTCCTCTGTGTCTCTAGATAATGTCTGAAGAGCCCGGAGGCCCTGATACACCAGCATCCTCGGGTAGTCAAGCTGCCTAGGCTATCGGTGGCTGGTCGCCCTGCCTGGGCCACTGCTCTGTCCCGGGCCTCTGCCCCCGCCGCTGGGCCGCTGCCACTCGTCTAGGTCGGGGTTCTGCAGCACCGCCCACCAGCCCTGGCCTGGCAGGACAAAGGGGGTTCCGGGGCCATGCCTCACTGGGGGTGCCGAGCGGAGCACAGGCCCAGGGCCGCTCCATGGGCACGTGGGCGGCAGGGGGGAGCAGCACGTGCTTCTGGCTGAGCTGAGTTTGCAGCTTGGTTTTGCGTGGAAGTGAAATGCCTTGATTGAGGAATCAGCCTGCAGGTTTCCAGGGTTGCCCAGAGAACCTTTCTATTTCTGCGGAATCATCCTGGGGTAAGGGACTAAAGTCCCAAGTAACCCTCCCAAGTCCTTTGCCCATTTTGTAATTCTATCTTCATTTTCTTCCTTCCTTTGTCACGTGCTCCAATGCAAGGATTTTGGATGATGTTTGTTTCCTTTTATCATTTCGTACTGGGTTGAATACTGCTCCCCTAAATTCACGTTTCACCCAAAATTCTCAGAATGTGGCCTTATTTGGTCATAGTCTCGCAGATGTAATTAGTCAAGTTGAGGTCATGTTTAACTCACGTATGACCTCAAATCCAATGAGGTCTAAATCCAGTGACTGATGTCCTTATAAAAGCCAGGCGAAGACACAGAGACAGACAGGAAGGGAGGCCATGAGACAGCAGAGGCACAGCCAGACAAGGAGCGCTGAGGGTGGAGGAGGCAAGGAAGGGTCCCTGTCCCCGGAGCCTCCGGTGGGGCGCAGCCCTGCTGGCACCTGGTCTCAAACTTCTGGCCGCCGGCACACTGAGAACACATTTCTGTTGTTCGAAGCCACCCAGCGTGTGGTGCTTTGTTACAGCAGCCGCAGGGAACTAATACAATCCATTCCTTTTTGTGTTTGGTGTTACATTTAGGCTTATGAATATTAAGAAAAGACAGTTAAAAATGAATTATCTAATGCTTTCCTTCGTCCGCGCTTCTCTGACTTTTTGAAGTTACATCTGGCTCTAGCATTGTTTGCATCTACCAATGTTGCAGGAAGAACGTTTGGGTTAACCCCAAGTTTCTAGCAACAAAAAGCTTATCTTGGTAATGGCAGCACAGGACTGGTGTGCACCTTCCAACTTCCTTAGAAATGTGCCCAGATGCAAGTTAAAAGGCTCCATACAGAATATTTATCTCAGTCACATGCAAATAAGGAATAAAAAGAATGCTTTAGATGAGAGTTACTGAGCAGTATGACTTGGCATGGAAATTAGCCCAAAGATACCCTTCCTTCAGAAACAACAGAACCACACACAGCTGTGGTGGAGTCTTGTTCAGAGCCCCTGAGGGGAGGCAAGCATCCCTGGTGACGTCAGCGCTTATCATGTGGTGAAGGGGCTGCCTGCCAGATGGCCCCTCAGGGAGGCTACAATTTTCCCCCCTAAAGACTGAATGAGGAAGTTGTGGGAACACACTTTGGGGTTAAGTGAATAACTTGTTCCTCCAGCTTTCCCTCAAGAGAGTGTGTTCCTTGACGATCCTCGCCTAAACTGAGCAATGCAAAGGTGACAGGAAGGCTACGGGGATTGTGGGGCGCTCCTGCTCCCCTAAGCAGTTGGCATTCGGCCGTGAGGAAGAGCTTTACTTTCTCCCGTTTACGCATTTATTGAATTACAGCCGTGTGGACTCACTGGGTTCTGCGTGTGTTCAATGGGCTATAATCCGTTATTAGTGTTGTTTACTTTAAATCTCAAATCATCCCAGATGTCGCAGTGAGGGCCTCTTCATTTTTAAGCACGCCATTATTTGCTGGCACAAGGTATTCCCAGCTCCTTTTACTCCCCCTGCCCCGGGGCTGACAGCCTCCAAAAAAGCCTGGCTCCTTTTGTGGGAAACGGCCCATAGAAGCCAAGATCTGGCACCCGGTGTGCTCACTGCAGTGGGTGATGCTGTTCCCAGGGCCTCTTGGTGGGCGGGGATAGGGCATTTTTCACACACACACACACACACACCACATACTACTCACATACCACATACACACACAGCCATATAGATCTATTTCTCCCCCCTTCCTCACCAGTTCTTGGTATCTTTAATTCCAATCCAATATAACGTGATTCATTCAGTCCCTCCCCTGCCCATGTTTTTAAACCCCTCACCATCAGCAAGAGGCCGCCTCCCTTCTGTGGTATTCCTATCAAAAATGAACACTCCGAATCTAATCCTAAGGAAATACTAGACAAATCCAAAACAAAAGGCAGTCTATTAAAAAAAAAAAAAAGGCTTGTACTCATCAAAAATGTCAAGGTCGTAAAAGATGAAGAAAGGCCAAGAAACAGTTCCAGATGAAAGGAGATGACACCTGCAGGACAGTGTGACCCTGGCCTGGGTCCTGGCCAGGAAGAAAGCCACAAAGGACATTGTTGAACGTCTGATATAATTTTGAATATGGACAATGGATTAGATGACAGCATTGTATCAGTGTTAAATTTCCTGACTTTGATCTTTGTGTGTAGTTACATGAGAGTTCTTGTTTACAGGAAATAGACACTAAAGTATTTAGAAATAAAAGGACATGACATCTGTAACTCTCAATGGTTCATTGAATAATGTCTGCGTGTGTGTGTACAGACATACGGAGAAGAAAACGGGGCGCGATGCTAAGGCTTTGCCCTCCAGTCGGGCCCGGGCCTCACAGCTGGGCCAGGTGCACGTTAACAGCCCCTCTGCCCCAGGGTCACTCCACTCAAGATTCAAAGCCCCAGGACAGAGACCTGCAGCCCCGGGACAGAGACCTGCAGCCCCTCTTGCCTCCCTCGCTGCCTCCTGCTGTTTGAGGAAGCTCCTGGGAAAGGAACCCCAAGGGCCTCCAGCGGCTGCCACAATGAGACGGGAGGTCCTGAGACTCCCCTGCACACCCCAGCTTCACTGAGGAGGAAGGCAGTTCCCAAATGGAACTCAAAATGCTGACAGAAATGGGCAGGTGTGCTGGTTAGAAACACAAAAAAAGGTCCTTTGGAAGGATGTTAAAGCCAGTCTCTAGGATTGCTAAATCTCAGCTAAAAATAAGTTGGAGGTAGAGAGGGAACAGAATTAAGACAAATATTCTTCATCTTTGCTATGCAAAGTGTGGTCAACAGACGGACGCACCGTCGCCTGGGAAATGCAGGCTCTCAGGCCCACCTGAGACCTCCTGAGTCAGCAGGGGCGCTTTACCAGGTTCTCGGGGCTAGCCACAGGGTCAGCGAAGTTTGAGATGCATTGCTCTGTCTTCGTGGGTCTCAAACTCCAAACAATAAGAATCTGTGATACACAGGAATTTTACAGGAGTTCTTTGTAACATTCTTATAATTCTGTGAGTTTAAAAGTTATATCAAAATAAAGTTATAAAACAATGAAGCTAAAGATAAATACTCTGGGAATAAAAGGTAAGTGTTTAAACACTTGTGGCACGATTTGCAGTAGACACGAACTGAGTCAACAGGGGAACGGCTCTGGAAAGAATGAGACGCCCCAAGGTCACGCCTGAGACCCAGTGGGCCTTCCACAATCCAGCAGGGGCCTGGGAAGATGTCAAGGGCGCAGAGGCTGCAAGGGGGTGGTCGTGACGGAGGTGAAGGGGTCCAGAATATGCCGCTGTGGCATAAAAATTACTTTGAGCAGCCAGCATTTGAGTTCCTGAAATCTCTTATCTGTCTGAAAGCAGCGCCTCCTGTAAGAACTCAACTGTCCCAAGTTCCTCCCTGGGGGCAGCCTGGGGAGACAGCGGCTTACTGTCCTGAGCGGGACATGTACCGTCTGTCTTCCCACCAGTGCTGTTCTCTTCTTCTTCCCCTATTCAGGTGGCACATTAGCTCCACATTCTAACAGCCTCTGTGAGTCACATTTTTCTGTAAACTCCTGCACTTACGTGGTTAAATTCTCTTCTCTTGTGAATCTTTTTGTCAGTTTAATTTGCATGCCCTCGATTACTGAACTGAAGAGGGTAGAGGAAAATTTTTTCCTTCCCCATGGGGACCAGCAGGGGAGACAGCACTGAGCGTGTGCCCGAGGCCAGAGCGCCCAGCTCCAGGTTCCGCCCTTGCCGATGGCTTCCTCCCAGGAGTGCGGGCTTCAGGACTGCCCGCCGCCTTCCCCAGAGGAGGACTCTCAGAGTGTGCAAGCAGAGGCGCCCTCAGGACAGGAACTTGTGTTCTGGTCAGCATTTAAGAGGAGATGTCACCTTCGCTCTGGAGGTTCTGCCCCAGCGAGGCCACTCCTTGAGCTCAGAGGTCACATGCTGATTTCCCTCACAAGCATGTTACAGTCCTGCTGGTAGTCAGCGGTCATTTTTCTCTGGGGACCATGAATATTACAGAAACCACTGAAGACCAGGAAAGCGTCTACATGCTATCTGTCACCGCCAGACCCAAAGACGGAGGACAACTCAGCAATGTACCTCAGAGCTTCCACCGCTTATGAGTGATTCCGTGGTGACAGGGAGGCCAGCATCCACGTGCGTTTTATCATGAAACCGGGGGATGGGGGAGCCAGCTGCACAGTGGCCCTCACCCACCCTCGGCACCGGGACTTACCACTGGTCCCGGGAGAAGGAGATGATGAAGCGAATGCCGGCAGGGAGTGGAGCCATTTACGCACGGACCCCAGGGCTCTGGTCACGAAGTCAAGGGCTGGTAATCCTGGCTCCAGGTTTCCCACTTGCCCCTGCACTCACACAGGCTGGAAAGGAAGTGGAGGTGTCCTGTCGGGTCTCACGTCCCCTCTTCCCTCCTGCAGAGGTTTTGCTCTCTGCAATGAGAAAGAGCAGTTGAAAAGGCAGGTGTTCTGACAATGGCTCCTTGTTGTCCCTAGAAGAAGGTGTTCCCTGTACAGTTGTTACCCCGCCCAGACCAAAGCTGGCCTCCGGGGACAACGAGCATGCCCACCCCCAGGGCCACTAGGTGGTGGGCAGCGTCTGCCCCGGGGCGGGGGCGGGGGTGGGGGGGTGCTTGTCCAGACGTCTCTGAAATGAATTTCACGTGATCTGAGGATATGACACAAACCACTGAGTTCATCTCCATCTGGAAGGCATCTAGAGATCAACCCACGCACCCTTAACCACCATACTCCACAGAATATTAACATTCATGTGAGAACAGTATGTGCCTGGCGGTCACACCACGGGCTCGATTACCAGAGCACGCCAGGGAACCGGACGTGCTCTGTCCCACCCGCTCTGGACCCGGCCGCCGCGGAGCCACAGTCACAGAAGGGACCCAAGGCCTGGACAAGGTGGCAAGTCATCAAACCCGGCATTTGGCTGTGGCTTTGCAACTAGATCGAAATGCATCCAATGCTGTGGGAACGGACTTCACCTCATATCTGCCTCCCGTCTCATCCCCTGTGATCCCTTCAGAGGCCGTGGGAAACGGCCCCTCCGGGAAGTCGGAGCCGAAGGCAGAGCAAGACAAGAAGGAACAGGCGGGGGACCTGGGACCTGAAAAGGAGCCCAGGGCACCTCCTGTCCCAAAACCAACCTTGTGACCTGTCTTCTTTTTCAGTTTTTTTTTCTGCCCTTGGCAACAAGAAACCTTTTGACCAATGTGTTAAATAACACAATTCTCAGTATATACAGAGCATGGATTGTTCTGTGTTATCGTTACTGAAAATTCAGAGGCTACATAATTTTTTTAAAAAGTACTTTTGAATAAAGCTTAATCTTGACTTAAAGAAGCCGATATTTATTTAATGTCTTCAATCAACTTCCGTGGGATAACAGGCAAGCAATAACGAACAGTTCGGATTTGGAGGACTTACATTTGTAAGTGCCTGCCTTCCCGATCAAAGCCATTCCCCATGCTTATTCCAGCCCCCACCCTCCAGAGCGAGCCTTCAAAAAATGCACCTCTTCAATGGTTTTCCTTTATGTTACCAAAAAAAAAAAAAAATTCAAAATCCTTGCCTCACCCCAGAACCCCCACCCCCACCCCCCCTCAGGGAGGAGGAGCGGAGGGGCCGCTGCTGCGGCCAGAACTGCACCTTTGACCCCACCAGCCGGGCCCTTTGGCCCCACCAGGGCCTCCACCGTTACACAGCCTCAGCCGCCCACCCACTGGGAGTGTCCCCAGCCCCTACAGCTGGCCTCGGGCTCTCTTACCTGCTAAAAAATAGGGATAGTGGCACTTACAATTTAGGGTTTTTATAAAGAGGAAATGAGATAACCCATAGAAAGCCCTTAGCACCAACCTGGTCTGTAGCAGATGCTCATTAAATAGCACCTGGCATGATTCTCACTGTATAAACTCAGGAGAGGATGAGGCTGCCTTGTGACCGCGTTCAGAGCCCAGCACAGAGCAAGCGCTCAAGAGAGGTGTTGAACAAATTTCCACAATTCTTCAAATCTCAAGATTTAAAATATATTTTCCTAAATTCTGCTCAAAGTGAGTGGGCTTCTGTTGGGGCCTAAATAGACTTCGAGACACAATTTTGGAATGATGACTTCAGAGTGAAGGCTCTGGCTTAGATTTTACGGTGCCTGAACATGGGCGGCCGGGACCCAGCGTCTTCCTGCGTTCAAGTGCCGCTTCTGGAGGCACAGCTTATCTGGAAATACTCTGTTGCTATCTACTAATTCAATCGATCGATCAATCTATCAACCTCGACTCAGTCCTGGCAAAACCTGCAGCGACGAACAGCAACAACAATCCAGAAGGCACTGGAAAAGTAACAGGAAGGACATCTCCATTTCCTTTAAAACAGTGGGGGCTCTGCCGGCCCCTGCACTCCCCCGCCCCCCTAAATGGATGAGAGCAACTACTATGGCTCCTCGCAGAGAGCACACCTAGGACAGACGTGTGAAGATCGTGAGCTCACAGGTGGGGTGCGAAGAGCTCAGCGTTGGGAGGCCCATTCCCCCGAAGGCCGGCCATGCCCATGGAACATCACTCCATGGAGAACTGGAGTCCTCCCATCTGAGCGCCCCCAGTGGGAGCCACAGCCGTGCGGAGGCGAGGCTCCCTTCGTGCGGAGGCGAGGCTCCCTTCGGAGGCGAGGCTCCCTTCGGGAGCAGAACAAGGAGGCAGGTGGCTGGAGGCAGTGGGGCCAAATCAGGTCAGTCCAGTTTCTCTCCGTCCCCTCCTCCCTCCCACCTCACTTCCTCCGGGCCAGCCCCTTCAAAGAGAAGGCAGCAGAACTGGATCAAATCACTTGGCTTAAACCCTCTTTTTGGCACATGGCCCAAGTACGTAAGAAGACTTTTTCTTTTTTTAATGGCTCTTACTAGCCGCCCCTGGACCTCACCACGAAGATCTAGTTTCATTCTACTGTCAAAGGCAGCAACTTGGGAAACATCCCATCCGAATGTCTTCATGAAAATCTGTATAACTCATGCTTTTATGCTCTTCCGCGTAAATGGCCCAACCTGGTCGACCATTACGAGTGGCTCGAGAAAAATGTGCATTCCGGAGCCCTTCCCTGAGACTCAACTCTTGGTGATCTGTGATACCTAGAACAGTTCCCTGTGCTCTAGGAGATGAAAATAATGAGACTGGAAAGTAAGTAAGGGCCAGGCTTCGCCGGGTAGCTCAGTTGGTTAGAGCATCATCCCCAGGTGCCAAGGTTTCCGGTTTGACCCCTGGTCAGGGCACACACAAGCAGCCACCAGTGAGTGCATAAATAAGTGACAACACATTGATGTCTCTCTCTTTTCCTCCCCCCACTAAAATCAGTAAAAGTTAAAAAAAAAATTAAGTAACGACCAGAGTAATATCAAAGGGTCTTTCCAGAATAATCAAAGCTGCCCTATGAGTATTTGAAATAATATACTTAAAGACAAAATTCTCTAAAGTGGATCTTATTTTAAGGCAAAGGTGGGTGGGAAACACATATCCCCCCGAAACATTCTGAGAGAAGACAGAACTTCCTTTTCAGAAAACAAAAGGAAACACTTTCAGTGGGTGGTGCTTTAAACACTCTACTCAACCTTAAAGATGAATGGACAAAGGCCACTACCTCTTTCCCTGTGGCTTAAATACGAATGCGAATCCTCTCCTAGGACCGACAAGATATCACAGGTAATCTGCACCCAGCAGCCTGGCAGCACGGTACCGACCCGGCGTGGCGACACAGCGGCGGAGCCACAGGCTCCAGGCTTGATATAGGGGCGTTTCACGACGGGGGAAATCTGAGCTAGTTACCCACTCAAACCCCCTCGCACAATTTAAGTTCAAGGGCAGATGGCGCTCCCCAGTGACCTCCAGCGGACTAAAGGAAGACAGGCTTAGGGTCCCACCTTTGGAAATTCAAACCTGGGGGTGGGGTAAAGGGCTCCCCAGCGTCCTCCGCTCAAACGCCAATCCTGATGGTTCCCGGAGGCGACCTCCAGCCACCGGCTCGAGCAGCGAGCGGGGCTGGAGAACAGGAGGGTGGGAGAAAGAAGAGAAAGGTGCCCGATGGTGGTGGCCGGCGGCTGAGGGACTTTCCGGAGCCTTAAGCCCTACAAACACCGAAGCTCGCCGTCACTGCTGTTGGCAAGGAAGCTCACGGGCTCGGGAACCAGCTGCTCAACAGACAAACAACCCGAAGGCCCAGGGTGCTGACGCGCCGAGCCTCCCGGGCGGCTCTCTGCGCCGGCTCCTCCCCATCGGCCGGTCCCGGAGCAGGTGGACCCGGCGGGCACGCCCACGTCCCCACCGCGCGGCGGACAACGAGCGGGTCTCCTCCTGCCTAGACACCCAGCTGTCATCACAGCCGAGCGGGCGGGGAGGGGCCGGGCAGGACCGCTCGTCTCACTCCGGCGGCGGCTGCGGGCCCGGCCGCGGCTCCCCCGCCTCCGCTTGCCGGCACTGCCTGCGCCGCGAGTCCGGGACGCCGGAAGGGGCGCCCGGGCGCTCATCTAGACCCCTTAATCCAAAGACTTCCCTAAGGCCGGGAGAGCGCGAGGTCGCCCAGCCCAGGCCAAAGACGAGCACAAAGACAGGCTAAGGGGGAGAAGGGCGCAGGGACTGGCCCTCACGAGCACCCACCGGCGTCCCGCCTGTCGCCCATGGTGGCAGGTGCCGCGTGGTCGCGGCGCCCTAGTCTCGCGGCCTTGCAGGTGCGGACGGTGAGGAGGGGTCCCCGCGCCGATCGCCGTCCCTGCGCCTCACCTGCACTGCCCGGGCCCGCTCACCGCAGCCCGGCCGGGCCTCCATGGGCGTTTCCTGCTCGCGACTTCCTGGGGCGGCGCGCGGAGGCCCCGCAGCCCTTTCACTTTCTTGCAGCCGCGGGGCGCCAGGCCCTGCAGCGGCGGGCAGCTCGGCCCCTCCCATTCCCGATCATCCCCTCCCCGATCCTCCCCCACAGCGGAGCCGGCCCAGGGTCCCAACCAGCCCTGGGGGCGCCCCCAGTGGGCGGTTGTTGCCATCCCCCACCCCCCACCCCCAGCCCCCTGCCAGCCATCGTCCGCCCAAGATTCTTCGCGCGGTCCTGTGTCCTTGCACCTGCTCGCCAGCGGGCGCAGGGACATTTACTGGCACGTTCTCCACTGGTCAACGGGGAGCTCCCAAGGGCCCGTTGTCCTCAAGGGAGGTCTCACCCAACAGCGGCAAAGCAATGCATTCCCCAGCAAAGACCAGCGCTGAAAAGGACCTGCCTGACCTCCTGGGCTTTATTCCTACTGCCCCTTCGCCAGGGTCAGAACCATGATGCTAGCGTTCTGTGAAGTGAAAGTGGGGCCCAAGGAGAGGCTGTGTCGAACCACCTTTTATCACAGGCGGCTCCCGTGGCTGTGTTGGGGGACTCCAGCCTGACCCCCTGTCGCTGGCACCTGACTCCCACCGCTTTGGGTGCCTTCCATAGCCAGCTCCCATTTCACCCCAGAGCCATCACACAAAACAGTTCACATTCTGAAATGAAAACTTGCGATTGTGTGGATGAATGTCCAGGTTTTGTGCTTGAAATGGTTGCACACGAGCTCAGGACAGAGCAGGCAGACGGGCCATCACCATTGAGACACTTTCTTCCTGCAAGTAGATAACTTGAAAGCTGTTGTTTACGATTACACAGATTTTATGACAGTTGAAATATTTAAAGAATCTAACAACTCTTCTTTTTCTTTCATTGACATGTAATATTGAAACTTCTAGTGAGAATCGAATGAATTTCCATTTCGGTAGGCTTTTCACATCCGGTACTTCAAAGTCATGACGGAGCAGGCCAGGCCAGCGGCGGGCACCGCCATGGCCAGCGTCCCGGAGACGTGTGTCCCGCTGCCCAGATGCGGGCCTGTCCGCAGAGCGCACTGCCTGGGCAGGACCCTGCTTTAACCCGAAACTTCCACGTGAGCTTCACATTTATTTTTATTTAATTTCAGTGAACAGATGAAAGGAGAGACACGTTTACTCGCCTCCGACAGGTGTTTGCAGGCAGGTGCCAGCCCTGCCGCCCCAAGGCCTCACAGGCAGCAAGGGGTCCTTGTCTTTGCCTCTGAAGAGATCCTAGAGAAAAAGGCCGGTGGCAAGAACAGGTGGTCCATTCAAAGGGACGCGGACGTGAGGGTGAGAAAGGAGCTTAGATTCACTTCCTAGGGCTGCCCTGATGATGTAACTCAACCTGGGTGGCTTAAAACTACGGAAATCTATGGCCTCAGAGTTCTGGAGGCCGGAAGTCCAAGGTCAGGCATTGGCGGGGCCGTGCTCCCTCTGAAGGCTCCGGGCATAGTGTGATCCAGGCCGTCCTCTTAGCTCAAGGGTCTTGCTGGCCACCCCTGGTGTTTCTCAGCTTGTAGCTGCATTGCTCTGGTCCACTCCTGCCAATGCACGATGACTTCCTGTGTGTCTGTGCTCACATCGTCATCCTTCTGTGGGTCTGCGTCTCTCCTCTCATAAGGACGCCCGTCAGGTTGGATTTAGGGTGCCCCCTTCTCCAGCAGGGCTTCGACTTTACTAGTTACATCTGCAACCACCCTGTTTCCAAATAAGGGCACTTTCTGAGGTTCCAGAAAGGAAATGAGTTTTGTAGGGGGACACGGTTTGACCCAGTGCTGGGCTATTACATAAGGTGAAGCGGGGTGTGGGGAAATCAGTGAAAAAACGCACCCCTAGGCTGGCAACATCAGGAAGCTGTTAGCTCCCTAGAGCCTGAAGGACTGGAGAGCTGAGGCTGCAGAGGAGCCTGTGGGGCGGCGGGGGGTGGGGGGGGTGGGAATCGGAGAAGGCTATGGTAGGGAAGGCAGTGGCCGTCAAATTACAGCCCAGCAGGGATGGGAAGGAGCGCAGAGTAAACAGCCCCCCTTTCCTTTCCTTCTACCCCACACTGACCTACCCCCAAGACAGAGGTGGAGGCCAAGAGCCCCACTGATGCCCCTTCCCTCAATGAAAGCGGCAGACAGGTGACTAGCAATCCAAACACCGCGTCACACATTATACGAGAGGATACTCCACGGGGTGCAAGAGAGGGTCCCCTCACCCAGACTAAAAGGTCACAGGAGGTGACATCTCAGGAGCACGGGAGGACTTGGCCAAAGCACAAGGCCAGCTGCAGGCTGCTTTGGGGAGCGCTGATAGTGCAAGTCACGTGCGGGGGTTGGGGGGACGGGGAGCTCCGGCAGCAACCCAGAGCCGGGGTGACGGGTGCTGGGGAGCGCCGGTTCCGGAAAGGTCCAGGTGAGAGGAAGGAGCCAAGGGAGAGAGAGGATGACCCCCAGGTGTCTGGCTTGGGCCGCTAAGAGGATGATGGAGTCTCCGTGAAGAGAGGAAACATACAAAGGATGAGCAGGCTTGGGGGGCGGGGGCTGGGCTAGGGATTCATTTGTACTTGTTGAGTGTGGTTCCTGGGGAGCTTCTCGGTGGGCATGTTGACCAGGGTTGGATACGAGGGTCGGAGTCTCTGGCAGAGTCCTGGGCTGGCAAGGCGGGCCTGGTGTTGATGGCAACTGACAGCGGGCAGGAGACTAGACCGAACCTCCAGGGGGGCTCATATTTCAGGGCCAGGCAGGGAGGAGGCGCTGGAGCCACGGAGGGAGCAGTGGGAAAGCCAGGAGAGCACAGTGTCCAGGACGGTCACGGAGGGTGGTGTCTCCAGAACGGGGGGGCGGGGGGGCGGGCAGTGGGCCATGGAGTCGCATGCTGAGAAGAAGTCAGGGTCTGCCAACCTCACCCAAAAGATGAGGGCTGATGCTCCCCGGGGGTGGGCTGGGGCGGGGTGGGCGGCGGCTGACTGCTGCGGGGATTGCGTGGAGAGCGGGAAAGAAGAGGCAGCGGGGAGCAGGCAGCCGCGTCAGGACAGAGCAGAGAAGGGCCCGAAGCTGCAGAGGGACTGCGGGAGGAGGAAGGGTATTTTTAAACATACCGACATTTTCAGCCACACACAGAAGTCGAGGGCACACTACAGTGCAGCCCCAGCTGCACTGGTTACCAATCCATGGCCAATATCGTTCCCTTTCTGTTTTGACCCACTTTCTTCCCCCTTGCCCCATCCAGGATTATTTTGCAGCAAATTCCAGGTGTTATACTATTTCATCTGTGAGGTTTCAGTATGTATCTCTGAAAGATACGGTTTTAAACGCAACCACAATACCATCGTCCGGGCTCCCTCAACAAGAACGACTGTGTGATGGCGTCCGGGATCCACCCTGCGTTCTCGCTTCCCTGACTGTCCCATGATGTTCTGGCTCTCAGTTTTGTCTTTCAGTGGGAATCCAAACAGGCCACACGGGTGTCATTTGATGAGTCTCCGAGGACTCTCCAACTGCAGGTTTGCCTGGCCCCTCCCCCTCTGCCCCAGCAATGCGCCGCCACCGTTTTTTACAGAGCCCAGGCCGTTCCTTGTGCAGTTTCCTGCACTCGGCGTTGTGCTGGCTCCATCTATGACACGGTCTAACATGCTCTTACTCCCCTTGTGTTTCCTGAAACTGGCAATGAGGCTGAGAGGCTCAATCAGAGTTGGGGAGATTCAAGGCCAGCACACGGCATCTGGTCAGCTGTTTCTGAAGTCTTAGATGTTCTTTGTCTACGTTCATTAATTCACTGGAAGTCAGAATTCACAGACGTGGTAAAACTGTGCTAAACTATTTTCACTCTTTCTTTCTTTCTCTGTTAGTATATTTCTGCAATGAGGAACTCCTCCTCGTCAACTATTTACTATCCATTAGTTCCAGTTTGCATAGGAAAGGAAGGATAAATGCAAACTCCCTCTTTTATCCGTCATTTAAAAAAAAAATGAGTTGGTTTCTAGTATTCTTCGAAAGTTATCGGTGCGTTTTCGTTTGCGTTTTATTATATGCTTGGTGGACTGAGTCACCGTTGATGTGTCCTGATCTTCTGCAGTGACGCGCTTTACCGAATGTCAAGTGCCCATCTTTGGTCAGTGGGGGCCTCTTCTAATCATCTCGAGTCCTCCTGACGTGACCCTGGTATCTTTGCCAGCGCCCTGCTTTCTCCTGTGGCAAGGTGTTCTTATACACTTTCTGCCCCAGACCTGGAATCTGCCATTTCTCCCAGGAGGCCAGGTCCTTAAGAAGTCAGAAGAGAGGACGGGAGAAGGGCTGTCCAGGAAAGGAGGCTGCCTGCTCAGGGA